ATATATACATAAAGTCATTAAAACTAGTTACCTTCTTCCTCAGGCTCGTCTGCTCCATTTTCAGTAGGCTCAACGATATCCTTCCGGCTTCGGTGTCTTCCCGACTCCTTTCGCCTGTGATCGCGGTGGCGATGTCTTCTGTGATGCAAATTTTCTGAGCGGGATACATCTATATCGCCACTTCGTTCAGCTAGTTCCTCCAACGTCATGTCTTCGCTACGCTTTTCGGCTTCCTCAAGCTCCTCAAGAGTCATGTCCTCACGGCGAAGCGCTAATTTACAACTAATTTCTTCTATTCGATCATCACGATTACTATTTATGCTCTGTTTCTCTGGTCGCTTTCGCCGTTCCTTTTTTTTGTCCTTTTGGTCGGAGCTTCTCTCTGTCTTGAGCTTCTTGTGGCGGCCTCTTTTTCGTGAGCTTGCCTTCTTTGGGAGCATCTCTTCCTCTGCAAGCACAACGTCAACCTTTATCGGAGCATCCGTTGTTTCCACTAAACGACTATCATCTACGAATAGATCGTCTATCTCTGGTGATACCGCCCGCATGTCGATAGGTTTCTTCTCTTCGAGCTGTTTCACCTCCTTTTTTTCCTTAATACTAACGACGCCATCTCGTACAACGTCGGTTAACCGCACAACCGGTACCGTGTCTTCCGTAAAACTAGCAGCCGGTTGTGTCAGCGAATTACTATCAGCGTCAGTTACTGGAGACAGGGGTTGCAGGATACGATTGACCTCCGTGTCGATATCGTGTCCCTCACATACTTTAGGCACTTCCTTGATAAGTTGAGCCTGGCCATTCTCATTAAGGCTTTTCAAGTCCTTCTTAAACATTTTACTATCCCTCTCTAGCGGTTTAATTTTTTCAGTCGCCGCTTTGTCCTCCTCACGAACTTCATCTTTCACCAACGCTCTGTCCTTTTCTCGGCTCATGCCCCTATCTAGAGTTCTAGCCTTTTCCAAGGCTTTGTCCTTATCCAAGGATTTACTAGTGTTGCTTTCTAAAATTTTGTCTCCTTCTAAGGCTTCATTTTCCGTCTCATAAGTTTTGTCCATAACGACAGACAAGTTAACCAATTTCTCCAACACTTTATCTTTTTGTAACGTTCTGTCGATCTTGTCTTGACCTTCCTTTACTTTCTCAAACTCAAGCTTTGCCTTCTTAGGCCGAACGATCGGCTCCGATTCATCGGACAGTTCTCCGTCATTTACTAGTTCGTCATCGACCTTTTCATCACCTTTGGCGGCTTTTGCTAGCCGTTCCATGGTTTCGATAGCGGCACGTCTTCTCGAACGGCCACCTTCCTTGAGCACAGGTATCTCTGCCTTCGGTGGAATCACCGTACCGTTCTTTTCGCCCATTTCTAGTATGTAGCGACTCTCCTCGAGGAGTTTCTTCAGTGCTGTCGTCTTGGGCGGTCGCCCACGGCCGCGCTTCGTTGCGAGTGAAGCAGATGCGAGATCATCGGGTGTCTTTGAGAGATTTTCATCATTGACTGATGGCGCATTGATTGCCGGCGCCGGTGAAGCTAACGTCGGCTCCTCCTCAATTCGCTCCAGAATTGGCGTGAGAGCAATCGCGTGTTCCGCAGGAACCAGGCCCAAGGGTATTTCTCCAAATGTGTGCTGTTGCTCCTTTTCTTCGCGATTAGTGGGGGTAGTAAACGTAGTCGTGGTAGTGTTAAGTGGCTCTTGTAACCTCGAGCCCTCATTCGAGATCAACTTCTCTTTAGCTCCTTTTGCTTTTAATTTTGATTTCAGCGTTGGTCGTGATCCTTCCTTGGGTTGTATGGGTGAAAGGGGTGACTGAGATAGTAATTACAGAAAAAAAATTGAAGAAAGATTAGTTAATTCACTATCAGGTCATTGGAAACCTCCAGATGCCCCAGCTAAAATAGAAAAACTATGCCGCGTAGCATCAACACCTAATTATTACGATGAAAATGGATGGCTATAGTATCAAAAACAAACGGCTACGAAAAAAACGTTGTTACTCTATATTTCGAGATCTTGCGTACCTTTGGCGATTCCGTCGACGATGAAACCTCTCTGCTTCGTAATCGACTCACCGGCCGTTTCGCAACAGAAATGATCTCAATTGATGGATCCTGCTCTTTTTCCCTATCTTTATTTGTGCTGCGATTCTTCGATTCCTCGGTTTTTTCTCGGGTAGATCTTCGTGCGGGCCTTGCAGCCGCACTTCCCAGGCGTTCGGACTGCCTCTCTAACTCTGACATTTTCGACCTCGTCTTCGTATCCGCGCCACGAGTTTCCCTTTGCAACGAGGATTTGGTAGGCAAGGTTTCTGCGGCGGGCACTACTACTAACGGCAATGAGAGCGGCGCTAGGTGCTGCCGCTGCTGCCCTGTAGTATGAGCGGCAGTAGTATTTGTAGCAGTAGCAGGCATAACTGCAGCTATTGTGGTCACTGGGGGTGTGGGGGTCCTTTTACTTGCACAACAAAGTAAACAGCCTCGTCGTCCCTTCCTCACGCTTGGGAAGCCGGTTCGATTAGCTCGCTTTTTCCGGTTGGAACGTGAACTCGACGCCCCGCAGGTGCACATACGAATCACTGGCAGAGCACTGACGCGTCGTAGAAAATTCTCCCGACGAAACATCGGATTGACGTCCATGTCTTTACCGATAGATGAACTGTCGGCAGATGCTACTTGGCTAGGCCGTTTCGTCCAGGGTTCAGCAGCTATGCATAGAAAGGTCTCGGCCAACTGAGAAAGTTCTTCCGCAACCCGGAAGTCCCTTTCAGTTGGACGTGATTTCTTCTTTTTAGTCTTAGCAGCAGCCGGTGGTCGATCCTGGTCCAGTGATTGTCCGCTGGCTGGCTGCTGAGCGCACCCCGTTACGCATCTCGTTCTGTCATTCGTAGTCCTACCGGTGGAACCGACCGCTTCTAGTAACCGATTTTGGCCTTGATCTCTTACACCTGTTTTTTCCTTGCTGCTACCGCCGGCGGTTTTGTGTAGATCTGGTAATGGCAACTGCATCAAAGGTGAGTACGGCTCCTCCTTAAAATCCTGCTCCTTGATTGATTGCTGAACGCAACCTAGCAGATCATTGAGATCGTCATCATCCTCTTCAGAAGGCTTCCCCGGCTGTTCCTCTCGATCACCATCTAGTGCAGACAAGTCCGCACTGGTAATATCTACTGATGCCCGCTGATGCTGGTCGTCATAGTCGGGGCATGAGTTGATGTGAGGTGACAGTATAGGACTTTCGGATACACCCCGACCAGCGATTCCGAGATCGTAATCATTTAGCGGGCTCATCGATGTCGACTCCGCTGGTGGTTCCGGAGTAAACTTACGCTTCACAATCAACTTGCCCTTGGGGCGCAAGATATCATCTGGCCGGATATCCATGTCGTCCATATCATCATCGCCTGTTCGTCGCACATCATCCTCGTCTACTTCCTCTTCGGGGTCTTCGTCGACCTCGCTGGCCGCACGACTTGGATGCTCTCGCTCTAAATCATCATCGTCTTCGGCGTCTTCTTCAGGAGCATCATCCGACCGCCTTTCTTGCGTTTCGATCACAGCTATTCGGTCGTCCCTTTGTCGTGCTTTATGGTCCGGACCAGGTCGGCAACCGCTGTACTCTAGATCGTTAGTCCGTTTATCGGATGCCTCTAGAGTGGACGAGTCATGTCGCTTATGTGTCTGCTCCTCAGACTCACTCAGGTCTTCGTCCTGCGATGAGATGTTGTCATACTGCGCTGGCGAGTGCAGAGACGTTCGTACTGCTGGTGTGCAGTTTGCCGATAAAATCTCTATTGAGCCACCTCGTTCCTGAGGAGTACTGGCCGCTTCACTGAGTGGTGTTTGATATGAGTACCTGAGTGTGTAGCGGGGCGTTGGGCTAAGGATATGTTGCGTAGGACTCATATTGCGTCCCGATCTCGCAGAGCCCATGCCAACAACGTACGACTCAGGGCTGAGTAGGCAATGTGGAGCCGATCCTCCTGGACCAGGACTCCGCACGCTATGATCTGCAGGCGTGTACGGTGTATTTGGAGTGTTCGATTCAGAAGGCACCATCTCATGGGGTATAAGGTGTCCTCCCCACGCGCGTGGCGTATTCAAACCCGCATGCTGTGTCCGAGGAGTTGTAGGTGAAGGAGAGGGCGACGCCACACAAGAAGCTGTTGCTGGTCGCTATACCCGGAAAGCATAGAATAGAGGCAGGATTAGTATAGAATAGAAACAAATTTAGTCGTTCATACCATTTGAAAATCACGTTGAAAAAAATATTTTTTTCAAATGTGATTTTTAAACGACATGAATATATATATATATATATATATATATATATATATATATATAATTTTTTTTCCTTTTTATGTGTGTATAAACGGAATATCAAGCTATCGTGTCTGTTATATGTCTTTGACTTTATAATTTGTCGACTCATGTCGAGATGTAAATATTGTATGAATGTTAAGCCATAATTAGGTTAAACTTACGGGTGGCGAGATCTCGATGATCTCCGGCATGCGCAGGGGCAAAGGTCCTGAATCGTTGTCCGGAGTTCCTGATTTGCATCTCGAATGAACTTCGTTCTCATCTCGGCGGGGCGGAGCTTCCCTGTGGTTGATGTGCACCACGTCCACATGGCGAACTTCTACCTTCGCCTGTGGTTCCGGGTGTTCCGTAATAAGTGAGTGCAGCTGAAGTTCCGACCGCCGCTGCTGTTGTGATTCTGGCTCCGACTCAGGTTCCGGCGGTTCCCCGAGATCTAGCAAACCTCCCGGTCCGAAGAACTCAAGAGCCTTCTCGACTGTCTCAACCAATGCGGAGGTCTTCTGACTCTCAGCTACTGGTGGAGGCAAAACAGGACACGGATCATTCAATGGAAGCGCTCCTGGATCGACCGTCGTCAACCATGTCTGAACCTGCAACCGCATTTTCCACATTACGACGTGATTATTATTGCTATTAGCATTACGGTAAAAGAGTAAACAAAGGCAAATGTACCTCAGGGGAACTGTTTGCGTTTTACTTTCTAGTTCTTTTAAAATATATTTAATGTTCCTTACGAGTGACCGATATTCTTTTTTTACGTATCAAAATTTCTCTCTTATTATTTTCATCTAACTTCCCTTGCACCCCTTACCACCCACGTCTATTGCTCTCCACACGTACCTGCAATAGCGAACTACTTGGCGGTTCAGTAAGATGCAACGGTAACAATGGCTGCGGTGACAGTTCGGTACACGATTGTACACCCGAATCAGGAGAAACGTGGTTATCTTGACAATCCAGGTAGACGGGCTGTTTTAACGACGTTACAGTCACCGATGGCGGACTGCAACTGTGAGGACTTAACGCGGACTGAATATGATGAGATGTGTTGTGGGATTGTTGATGATGAGGCTCAATCATCGAGGCCGCATTCGCACTACTACTATTACTATTCGCATTCGAAATATTGTGAAGATTTGCAGTAGCACTGCTGTGTGTATGAGTGTGATGGGCGTGGCTATGCACAGAATGCTGATGGCTGAGGATACTGCTCAAGGCAGGAGATTGTGATTGACGCTCTTGGTTAAACTGTTGATTTCGATGAGCATGATGCTGTTGCTGGCTTTGGCGCTGTCCAAATGTTGTCGTTGTTGAGACAGGCTCGGCCAAGGGGTCCACTATGGAGGACGCGATGCCGTTATCCGCAGCAGCTGGGGGAGCCGGCTGAACGACGTCATCTTGTAGGGCTGCGGGTTTTTCACGCTCCTCGCAGCACGACAACGACGCCGAACTCCGGCAAGTGGAACAGCTCGCGCGACTGTTTCGGCGGCTGCCTCCGCTCGACGAACGACTACCACTGCAGCTCTACAGAAGGTGACCGGTGAAAAATAACAGAATTCACAAACAAAATGCGTGCGTTCTGACAGATGCATGAAGAGAGTTGGGATCACACGATCAGACTTTCGGAGTGAAATAATCAACATAGCGATCAACAAGGCGAAGTTACATGCTACATGATTGCTAACTGTACGCTACCACCTAACAGATACATACATCTTGCATGATACATAATTTTCGGTTAGTGAAGTTCTTACCAGTTATCATTTTTGTATGATTGTATGGCAGCATTTATATATACCGTTAAATTTTTTTTCTAACTCGTGCCAGTCTATAGTAATGTAAAGCTAAGAACACTTACTTTAGATAGCGCTTCTTACTTCCATTTAAATATATATTACATAACTTACCCCCGAGCAGGAGCAGCTGCTCCGGCTGCTACCCGAGGCTTCCGACGACCGAGAAGCGGACCTCGATCTGGACAGACTCTGTTCTCTTGACGATCTGGATGAAGAATCTCTTGAGCCTTCATCGCTCGAGGCAATCTCCCCCCTTCCCCTTTTCGAGCCTGTTGTGTGATTTCGACTGATAGCACTCCGGTCATCGCCACCGCTACTCTGCGACGTATGCGAACTGCTCGAACCACTTCGACTTCGTTGACCGGCTCGCTCACTGGACTTGACAGACTCATTTTCCTCGCCATCGCCGGCGGACTCGTCCGAATCAGAACCAGAGCCCGACACCGCCTCACTCGCAGATGGTGAACTCTTCCGCCGACTTCGTTTGCGACTACTTCGTTCAGGAGTATTTCGTAGTGACTGCGAAGAAGGATGACGATGTTGACTTCGCTGTTGTCCTTGCTGCTGATAGGTCTGTGACTGATGTTGCCGGTGATGGTGATGTTGCTGTTGGGTCTGACTATGCTTCTGCTGTAGATTTTGTTGTTGATGGCTAGCTTTACGTATCTTAATCTTGACATTACCATCCCGTTGGATGACAGCAGACGATTGAAATTGTTGGTGAAACGACGTTTGTGACGTATGCGAAGTTCGCGATCGTCGTGATCCTCCGGAGCAGCTGCTGCGCGAACAGCTGCTTCTTCGTTCTTCACTGTTACAACTGCTACCTCGGCTCCGGCTTCGGCTGCCACTACTCGATCCACTACTGGACCCGCTTCCGTCTTCACTTCGACTACTGCTCCGCCGGCTGTCGGCGTTTGAGCTTTTTCGACTGCCTGATGCTTTACGTGCATTAACACGCATTTCGGCGTTTCCAAATGATCCGAGATCCGAATGTTCCATTGTTCCTTTGGCACTGCCTCCGGTCGCATCGTGACCGCCTCCGGCCTCGCTGACGCTTTCTGACCCACGGTGATCCAACCGGCGCTGGCCGTTCTTGCCAGCGACGTGGGTTTCCCTTTGAGCGCGAACGCTACGTAGGCTCTTTGGTAGGCTCCTTCGACTGTGACTGCTATGCCTCGAAGAGTCATTGTCCTTATCCGATGCGCGATTGTTGTTGTTGTTATTGTTGTTGTTGTTGTTGTTGTTGTTGTCGTTATCGGATGAGTTCGAGTTGGACGAATCCTCGGAGCAACTAGATTCGCCACCGGATGACGAGGAGACCGACGACACCGGACAGCACTGGCCGGTCGCCAGGTAGTCCATCACCTCCTGGACAAGAGAACAGACAAAGACACGACGAATGTAATAACTATTTTTCGTTGATATTTCTAATCGGAATTTTGTCAGAGACGTTTTCAATTGGTATAAAAAAAACATGTGAAACATTTTGTAGCTCAAATATGTTTGATACCGCTGAATACTAGCACAATATTGTTCGATTGACAGAGAGATAGTTCAACACTACTTCATTTGCTTATCATTATAGTTACACTGCCGTGACTCACGGTGGTGATCATCCGGAGACATTTTTATTTTTAGAGCGGAAAATACACATTGTACTTTGCTCGCTTCTGAGTCATCCCTATTTATCGAATCGAAGTCCCCAGTGAAAGTATCTGTTATACCTGTGAACTAAAAAAAATACAAGTCATTCTGAATTCAGAATGTCGACGCAAGACTTTAGAGGTATGCTACACAGTAGGGCAACGGATTAAGCCAGGATGAGAATGTAAGCATCACGAGACTGCCAACAATTCGACAACAACGCACAATAGCAAAAAGATATTTCCCTAGAAACCAAGGTTTATTTCGTAGATAAAAATATTAAGATTTTTTTATCCCGCCACCAAAAAAAAAACATGAAAGTGATGTCTAAAAGCTAAGAGCCGGCAAATGATAAATCGAATCCTATTTGCAATAATAATCGCAATTGTGTTATAATAATCTCCACATACATAGCTATAGTTATATATTTAGTTATTTTAATTTTTACTTATTGAATTGATTAAATTCCTTTGGGGAAATCTGTTTGTATTAGAGGTTCATTGATGCACAGGCTCTATTGTTAAGAAAGCAATATTAGATTTTTTCGCAAAAAAAAATGCAAACTACTGCTATATTACTGTTTGTATAACTATGTTGGCGTACATAAAATAACCGGATATTATAGGATAACCAGATGTCCTATAATTATCCTTTTATTATTATAACTAATTACTAAAGCACTGGATAGCAGTTTTGAATAGCCCGCCCTTTTAGAGCTCTAAGCCTAAATAAAGAGCTCTAAACAGCCTAAAGTATCTATATGGCCGTTTCAAAAGATCAACCTACCATTAAACAAGCCGTATCGTGTCACGGGTTCGGACGAGCATATTATTCGATCGAAGAGTGGAAAGTTTGCGTGACGCAACCACTGCAAGAATTTTGTTCATAGTGAACAGCTGTACTGAACGCTTTTAGGAAGAGATTAAGTTCTAAGTGGCATCCAACCGAAATGCACATGATCACCCACTAACCTTCCGGTAGCTCCATTAGGTGGATGCTGGGCGCGTGTGCATAACATATATTATGTCTCTTGACGTTACGTAATTCAGTCACTTTCACAGTTTTTATCATTAGCGACGTAGATTGTGTCCATAGATCTCTAAACTCAGCATTTTTCAAATAGCGGAGGACAACAAGCCAGCAGGCTCACGCATGGGCAGTGATAAACAACAACAACAACACAGTATAGCGTTTGCGCTAATTTAAAAGTGTGCAAACAGATTCGTTCTCATTTAAAGATAATATGTATACCGAGTTGCACGGCAATAGAACGGCACGCTTCTTATATACGAAAATAACAATCATAGAGCCACTTTCCGTGTGTCCCCTTTCATCCGTATACGCAGCTACTACCCCAAAATCAAAACCATGTTATCTCTGTCAGAAATTGTAGTTTCGACTTGGATACCTCAAGAAACTGTTCAACACAAAGAACTCTACAGGCATCCATAATACGACCCTGACCGTCTTTCATTTCACCCCGTATGCATCCAGCCTCCAGTATGGTTCCTGAAGGTAACGATATTTTTTTTGTTGGTTTCTAATCCTCTCATTGTCTCGTTTGCCATTTAACATTTACCGCAGTCCAAACTGGTTTAAGTAAAAATAGAGTGACGATAGAGTAGCGTAGATAGGCCAACCAATTCCACCAGAAGGCATCAACGACGCTAAACGTCCGGCTACCGAACCCCGATCACAGCGCAGGTGTTTCTACGTTCAGACATCCACGCTATCATTATTTCAGTTAGCGTGTATATACATACTCTGACATCGCTATCAAATCGCCAAATTGCGCCTTTTCCATGTCGGCGGCCGCAGTCTCAAAGGCACAGGGGCAACGGCCGTAATAGGCTCTGAAGCTGCTGCCGGCTCTATTAAAGCTAACAATCAAAACCAAGTGTTTAGAATCAACCAGCAGTAATGGCCGAGCCGAATGGCTGCTGTTAACCTTGATCATGATGCCGCTGCTGTCCGAATAGTAGCAACGGCAGTGTATCAAGCATCAATAATGACGGCGGGTAGACGAGGTCGCCCGCCTGTACGTTGGCAGACAGGAGCGCCGTGCTGGGCCGCAGTAGAACCGCACCGCGCCACCCAGGGGCCCACTCCTCCGTTCGCACTTCGACGGACATGTTACAGGCGCGGCAGAACGGCTTGAAGCACAACAACAGTTCAAGCGGCTGCAACGATACGAGGAAGGTTACAGCCACGGCGACAATCGACGGCAGGATCATAAGCACAGCAACACGCCGATGTGTCTAACAGTGCCATGTTGCTGTGGGCGGCCATTGGGCAGCAGCAGCACTGCTGTGCAGTGCGAGGGTCCTGTTGGTGCCAGTCACAGCCTGGCGCACTGGCTGTGGCTGTGGCGGCGGCGGCAGCGGCAGGCGCTCAACAGCCCCGAGAGAGCGACATGGCGACATAACAGCAGCAGCAACAGAAGTCCGCTAGTAACAGCAGCGGTGGAGGTAGCGGTAGCGCCGTATGAAGAACACGAGCGAGCGGCAGTTCCTTGGCATCCCGTTCACATTGGACACATGCGTCCCGTCACCGACACGACCGAGACACGGCCTCTGCCGTTGTATGCATCGATGTACTGACGACGAACTGCTGGGGACTGCCGCTATGGCTAACTGCTAAACAGATTGGTTGGGCCGCGGTTGAGCGCAGCAGCAGCAGAAGCAATAACAACAGCATCAACATTCGCAGCGTCGGATGTTACCGCCGCGGTCAACTACGGAACTGTCAACCGCGGCCGTAACAAATGGTCACCACGCCACTGGTGATCTATGCCTTTATATCATTTTTGCCTCTATTTTATTACGTGCATAATTGTGATTGCGCTAAAGCAGCTAAATTCGCTATATGCTGAGACTGACCTTACGCTATCATCGTGGCCAGCATAGGAGAGCATCTTGGAGAGGAACAAGAATGTTCTTTAGTAATAGTTCAATGATAATAAGAAAAAAATATTATTAATAATATGTTAATGTCGAAACCTACAGATACACAACTTTTTTTAAGTTGTATACCTGTAAGTTTATGCATTTGTACAGGGCATCGGTGATACGAGAAGTTTGCTTATGATGTACGATTTCGATGATCTAAAGACCCGCGAATTCGTAAGGGTTAAACTGAGCAATTTAAATATCATTAGCAGTATTATTACATATATATATATTGTCATTCTCGACTTTTATTATCAGTATTAACGATGAACCTTGAAGGTTGCACGCCAAATTAGAAGTTATTCACGCTTCCTAACAAAAATGTCTTGTTCCACAATCCTTGAGTGCTGTTATACTTGTGTATCACTCTTTTGCACTGACGAAAGCGGCAACTCGGCAAAAAGACTTAGATGATGGATACAGAGCAAGACGCACTCATTCAGACCGCCTTTTCTATACATCGACAAACAACAGAACTACGTCAAAAATAGAAGGATCTACCTTACGACACTACCACAGCCATCATTACAACGACGATTATTTGGGATAACAACACCTGATGAAAGCCTTAATTGAAGTATTACACCGGCATACTATAATCGATAGAAAATGAAACAACTGTATTCAACCTGAATTTGTTCTCCGGCGCATGCATGCGTACCCATTACTGCCCCCCCCCCCACAACAACAGGCCTGAATCCCTACCGAGTTTCTGAGATTCGACTTAGAATAGTTCAGGAACAACGTCAGAAAAGCAGCGCAAAAACAAACATTGGAACCTATCTAGCTTGAATCCAGGTGCCAAACACGCTGCTCCCCCAAGACCGATCACATGTCCGTGCCATTCGTCAATCTGCTGCCGTCGCCGAAACAACTCTGGACGGGCAAGCGATCTTTACACATGGCCATCTGCAGCACGCGACGCTGATGGCGGAAAAGAGATTCCGCAAGAGGAGCAACATTACTTGATCTCGTAGTGGCGGCCACGAATGAAAAAAGTCATGCATGCAAACTCTCTTCCACTGACGTTTGTTCTACTCCGCACAGTTTCCTTTTTTTCACCGTAAATAAACCAAACGCTCAACCCCACACGCTACCTACCCACTATGCGCTATAGTCTCTGATGCAAAACGGAGCTCTGTCATCATCGGCATCATCATCATATTAACGGCGACGTAATAGGCCGGTCATAGGTGCCCAATATGACGACAGCAGTCACATCGATGACGGGATACTTCACGCTTGTACGTCTCGCGTTGTTGTTGCTGGCGCGGTTGTTGTTATTGTCGTTACCGATACAATATTCCTGAGACCAACAGTAGCGCAGTCACTTATAGTGACCAGCAGCACTACTAGTGGCTATGGTCGCACTAAATTGGAGGAAAGCAGCAGAACCGAAGCACTTCGATATCTATATATAAATATATGTACACACACAGGTATATATGAGCAGGTCAAACCTAAACAGGTTAAAACAACTGCTGACGGATCATTCGTTCGGCGCCGTGCACTTCGACCCGCTTGCCGACGGTAGGAAAGTAAGAGCCAATGCCTTTACATCCACCAACAACAGCACTGAGCAGCAAACTCGCATGTACATACATACATAAATGTATATATATATACATGTATGTATGCACATATAATGTATGTACAAACATATGTATGTACGTGTGCACATCTCTGAAAATAAATGCACGACGGAATCAAAGCTATAGCCTGCTAATTCACCAGTTAAGTTCTGTCTTGACTCATAGAGTCCCCGCCGAACGCTGCTGTTGCCGCTGCTGCTACTGCCAGTAATCTTAATCTCGCAGAGGGTCTTGTAGTTGTGTGAAGCTCTGAACGATAATGATAACATGATTAAAAATATTAGTTTCAGCAAAATGGGGTTTGACACGGTTCCGACCACTAACAAGGTTTCAGACCTCTAAACCGCGGCGCGCCGAGATCGCGCCGGTCTTTATGCCCTGCTTGTATCGTTCGTACTTTTCCCGAAGAGTATAAAGCGGCACAGTAGCAATCTCACGCGGCATTCGACCGTCACATCTTCATCGCCGAATCGAACAAATTTATATGCGTGAAAGCGACTGGCTAACAATTCAGCCGCACATTACGGGACAGACCTCAAGATATTCTCTCGTATTTGTTCGGTCGTTCGTTGTTGATGACTGGGAGCGACCGGAGGGCCGGGAAGCGCCTAGCAATTTGCCTGCCACAGCAGAGTCCTCAAAATATATACGCACACACACAAACACATTCGGAGACAGCACCAAACGATGGTGGCAGTAGTAGTAACAATAATAATCATCATGTGAAAACTAACCTCACGTAGAAAGGGCTCCGCTAGTCTCCCGCGGATACGTGCTTCCGGCGGGTTTCACCGAGATAGGTCCTTGCCACGGCGGGTATCCATTTGGGTGTTCACTGGCACCCAAGTTCCAACATGATTTTGCGATTCCGACACTCGGCAATATCCGAGCCACTGTTAACACAGCAAAGCACCCCACCACTCACCACTCACTACTGGTAGCAGCAGCAGCAGCAGCAGCAGTAGTAGCAGCAGCAGCAGCATAAAATGCACTCACAATCACACGACAGGGAGCGGGAACAGCCATAAGACAACAGCAGCAGCGCTCGCATCGCTCGCTATAAACTGTGTGTGTAACAGCACTCGTCTACGGTTGTAGGATACTTCTAGTACTCATAACAAACACAGCCGCGGCAGCAGCAGCAGCAATAGCAGGATTCCGGGCTTCGGAGCAGAAGCCAGTGAGTGTGAGCGAGCGCACGGCTGCCAATACGGTTGGCCATCCGTGAGCTCCGCCGAGGAACCCGCTTTAACGCATATTGCATGAGAAATTCACGTTAATCTTCATAGCGCTACAAGTATACGTGATTTGACTCGGAAAAATACGCAACGATGATTCGTCTTATGTGTGATGACCTTTGCAAAATTTAGCCATATGTCAGTGACGTTGTTTTCACTGGTCGGATCTCGGGGACATGGGGCCATAGCTCCCCATTGTTGTAATGCGTCCAGACGGGGTCGACAAGGCTCGAATTGCTCTTATCCGGCACTAGTTTCTAACGCGTCGAGCAGCTCGGACCCTACTACAACGCAGCTGACTGGATCTCCGTGTAGCTCGATGTTCGAGGGGTATCGTTCCGCCAACCAGCCACACAGTCATACAAGGAGAGACGTTAGACGAAACATTTCAAAACAAAAATGGAGTGGCCGATCTATTAGTGTATATATATATATATATATATACAAATATATATATATATATACATATATAGTAATTATAGTGGTGCGTGTGTGTATATATTGGTGCGAAAAAGGCCGTGAGATACGGCCGCGAGATTAGGCCGTAGCGGACGAGTGTGGCGGTGAGAGTTTTCCTTTAAAGTGAGTACTCTCAGAAAGAATGTATGAGAACTGAAGTGCAGAGAAAAAAGGATTGAAAAGAGGGTTGAAGTTGCTGCTGTCGTTCATTGAGCTCGAACATTGTTCAGAGCCAGGCAGTAACATTGAGATAGTGTAGCAACAAGAATGAATTCGATATTTCTCCGATTTCTGTTTGAATAATTGTTCGGTCAGAGTTATTGGTCAGCTAGCTTTGTAGAAGTCGTCACATGAAATCGAAATAGAGTTTGATGCCACCCTTTGAAAGGACATATCCTCATAGCGATCTATACTGTCGGCCGAATAACAGCGGCTTTCAACAGCCTTTCCGAGTGCTCTGTGTGTGCTTTAGTCGTTGTGCAAATCATTTGTGACAGTGAAATCATGTTAGTGCTGTAACTAAGACCTCGGGATAGATTAACAACGGCAACATTTCAGACGACAGGGGCTGTGCGTTTTAGAGAAGCTGGCAATCGGTGGACAAGCCAGACACCTTCCGGCTGATACTGGCAAATGCTCGGCAATCTGAGAATTCTTGAGAAATATTGTATATTATCGTAGATCCCCGTATTATTGTTCCAATATTTTTCTGTCGATACATATAATCATTGAAACCGCTAACCCATTCATGTGATTATATCTAGCCATTTGCTGCCAGCTTTAGAGTTCTACGAACGAGCTTTGGCCAGTTCAAGAAATGTAACTCAAAATGGTTCCTTCTTTCTTTCTTTCTATGTCTTCCCGTTTATTTGTCCTTCGTGTGTACTTGGACAAAAACAGTTACACGATCTGCTGGTGCTCACTAGTAGGAAGAGAAGTGGTATTAGTTGGAGGAAGGTGGTCGTAAGTGGACGATGGAACTTGACTACGAGAAACGATTGGCCTATTCGCCACGCAAACTCGAGGGTCCCGATCGAATGATTCCGCCCCGAGCGAATGCCCGATGGCAGTTAAACTTTGACGCAAGTCCGCGAGAACAAAACGAGAATGTCTATTCGTGTCTACTTCGGAACGAGTTGCTCGGTGAAAACATTGAAGACGTTAAACAGTCGACGCCGCCTCAGCGCCTTTTCAATTACCACAATCGATATAACAAGCATGACCCAAATCAGGTAAGAATCCGAACGCAGGACGCTGGCCGTTACCGTTTCAAACTTTCAGTGACAAGATGACAGCTGTGTGAAAGGCGCTGTCAACCTGACAACAGTCACGCTAACGCCAACGGGACATATTACAATAATAGAGTAATCAAGCTGCTGCCAAAGTGATATCTGTTATCTCCAAAAATATCCGAAGTGCCATTTTCCATCGACTGTTTCTCTGCTCCACATTTGGTCGAAGCTCAACTCCTGCGTTAAGTGATCGAAAGAGATTTAAAAAAAGGTCATCAAATTCAAATTGAGTTTTGATGACGTCCAATAGCACATATACATGTAGCCGTCAATAGGGTCCCAGTGTTCAAAGGTTTTATTAGGCTGTACTAAGAACGATGCGAGAACACACCGAAGTAACTTTTTAGACGTTCGTTCAAAAGCCCCACTTTCGTAGAGTCAAACATATCAGTGAGTGACAGTACGATATCGAGATTACGTCATTGTTGGCTTCAAAGATCGAGGCTGATGACTAATATGATATGATATATATCTTAAGATGACTAAAGTCAGATCAAGCCACATATCGCCACCCACAGCTGTTTAATGCAATCAAAAAGAGTGGCAAATCGATAGATGAAACAATTTGCAAAAAAAAATTCTATTATTAAGTATAAGTTTACCGTAAAGCATGCATAAAGTTCAGTTTTATTAAGCGTGTATTTTGGGAAGATATTCTAAAGTAGATTTGGAAGAATATACGAATTTGTGGAAGGACAACCACTCGTTTGGAACCTTAATCCGACGATTGAGTTGGCATAGCACACGAGATACTTAGCTTGATTCGAACATAGCTACATAAAGTATCCACTTATTCTAATTACTAATGTTGGTTAGTAAAGTCACATGCAACTTGCCTTGTGATCTGCGTATCCGAAAATACGCTTTGTGCCTGTTTTTCTATAACATAAAAAACTGGGCAGCAGTCATTGTTCAGCATTTGGCCTATTACGGAGTGAGGCTAATTATTTACCCAGACTAATTACAGAGTTAGGCTAAGAGCTAAAATTGCACATGACTAAAAAAGCTTATCGGGATGATTGTTTTGAAACGCGAGATAAACAGTTCTTCGCGTTTTATTCATCATAAATATTGAACCAAACAGGAACTGTTTAGAAGAAGGTTCATATCAGCGTGTCATCTAATTGCGGCCTCTTTACAACTGAGCTCAGTTACGCAAATTGCTCATCCTGAAAACCCTGAACTAACTAACAAACAGTAATGCGATAAGATCTTCTCACAACGCTTAAGGTTCTTCAACAAATGTCTGCAAAAGAAAATCACGATCATTTTGATGCGAAAGCGATTATAATATATATATATATATATATATATATATATATATATATAAACGTATGAATATGATATAGGAATACCAAATAGGTGATTTTACATTGTGCTAACTCTGTATCTAAGGGCACCCCACCTTGACCGTACGATAATGATCCGTCTGTTTATTCTCTATCCTGCAATCCTCCCTAATCCGCTGCTGAGCTGAACCTTCAAAGCACTGGTAATATAACTATAACATTGGCATTGTATTCGAACGGCTTCAAGTTAATTCGACAAGAAAACTAGTAGCATTTAAACAAAACTACACTTTATATTGATCATCTACTGTGTAATTAATTATTCGGAGTATTTTTTTCTATTATTCACAGATGACAGTATGGTGGATGCAACTGTTTTTATCAAGATTCAGTTTTGTTTTTCTTTTGTTTTTAGAAAACTAAATACCATACTTGTTCAATGTTGTTCCTTTAAATGGCATTTTGAAGAAAGCGGTGAAGAGCTTTCTTTAAGATTGGCCTTTCTAATTTACTTAACCCGTCCTAAAAATTAGTTTGCGACCGCATGAATGAACATGTACTTACCACTCCGTCTGTGCCTTCCTAATTACAAGCTAAGAAAGCTAATTAAACGAGGGGCACTATGAGAAGCTATTCATGTCCAGAAGAAAACGTGTAGCCAGAAAAACGAGTGCCCGCTTCAAAGAAACGACTAATTGTGCCCACTAAGAAACATCGAAATATATTTTGACAGTATGCTTGTATATTTCTAGCATATGATACTTTGAAACTTGACCAGATAAGGAAACGTAAAATACATCCTGAATAACGTTTTTGCATTGGTCTTCTGAGATGGGTCTTCGAAATATGTCGCGAACCATAATGTCTTGTTATTCAATTGTGCCACGTTTATATGAATATGGAAGCACGTCTGTCCGGCATTCAAGCTGCATGAATTGGAAATTTGGACATTATAAAAAAAAAAAATCATTTTTGTTTCTTAACCTTGCATTATGGAATAATACGATGACGCCATTTGTTTGCCTTGTTTATGCAAAGGGGCGCCGTGCGTGCGCAGTCGAACGATACTACTGTTACATTAAGAACTACCTCTCTGTTCTATGTAGTGCGGCCGTATTATGTCTTTCTGTATTATTAGGTCAATAACACTGTCAGCAATGAGCCAAAATGAAAGAAAATAGGTGGTTAGCGGTAAGACTCCTCACAAATTCTGGCTTGAGTATTTATAACATGAGGGTCTTGGGCGTTCAACAGATATTCACACCTAATGCACAGTTTTTGCAGTTTTTATATATATATATATATCAAATGAGTCGCGAGTTAAGTAATGGATGGCTTGGAATCCGTTCATAGAATATAGACCGAGTTTCTCGTGCAAGGAATCTTGTTTGAAAGGCATTGTAATAATACCAAACCACACATGTATAATTCTATACCATTGATTTGAAACAATATCGAAGGGCGAACAGATACAGACACTTGAATAGACCACGAGGATATTTTTGTAACTGTGCATGTTTCACCGCATACAAAATTAAAAATATACGTATGTATCATTACCTAACGCGAGTTATTGTTACAGGCATACCAGTTGTCTCCAATCTCGTTACGGAGTCAAAAGTTGCTTAAGTCACCTCGAAAGCAAACCCGAAAAATTAGCAAAATCCCTTATAAGGTGCTGGACGCGCCTGATCTTCAGGATGATTTCTATCTAAATCTCGTTGACTGGAGTTCTACGAATGTTCTCAGTGTTGGGCTGGGTGCGTCCGTATATTTATGGAGCGCAGCCACTTCACAAGTTACACGGTTAGTAGATCTTGGTTTATCACGCATGCGATGTGGGTATATATATATATATCGATGACGTTCATGGTACTAATCAGCCCCAGCCATAACGGACCAGCTTTTGTTAGTTCTTTAAACCTATCTTCTGCAACAGAGGTTGCCTATATGCCATATAATGGAATGAATTAACGGAACGAGATGAAGTTAGCTATTCTGCCTTACATAATCCTATGCGGATAATAAATTCGCATCAAAGTATTATATAAATAAACACTTAGCGACCCAAAAACAGAACGACCGATTAGTTGCTTACTGTTAATAGGCATTGCTATGAGAAACCACTGGCTAGAACCCTACAATGCTAAATTAGTAGATCAAATGACTAAAAATGAACTACGTGAAGGTATAGCAGTTATCGTTGATACACATGTTGCAAGTATATGCGCGCTGGTGGGGCACTGGTGGACCGATTCTACAAATGAGTATTGTTTTTCCGCTTTTATTTTGCATTTTCCAGACTGTGCGATCTACAAAGCGATAGTGATACCGTCACTTCGGTTTCGTGGTCGGAACGGGGCTCGTTAGTTGCCGTAGGTACGAACAAAGGTCTTGTACAAGTGTGGGATGTTGCTGCATCAAAAAAGACGGTCTGCTTTGGGGGTCACAACGCACGCGTGGGGGCGTTAGCTTGGAATGGGGATCTGCTCTGTTCCGGATCGAGAGACCGCAATGTGTTCGTTCGGGACATGCGACAACAGCCGCAAGCTGGTGTCGGAAGTCCTGCACGCAAGCTAACTGGCCATCGGCAAGAGGTGTGCGGTCTGAAATGGAGCCCAGATCAACAACACCTTGCCAGCGGAGGAAATGACAACCGTTTGCTCGTTTGGACGCTTCAGTCCAATACGCCGTGTCAGACATATACTGAACACCAAGCGGCGGTCAAGGCGATAGCATGGTCGCCGCACCATCACGGCCTGCTTGCTTCAGGAGGGGGTACGGCCGATCGATACATTCGCTTCTGGAACACGCTAACGGCGCAGCCCATGCAGAGCGTGGATACAGGCAGTCAAGTATGCAATCTCGCCTGGAGTAAACATGCGTCCGAATTAGTCAGCACGCATGGCTATTCACAGAACCAGATCGTCGTATGGAAATACCCCAGCCTTACGCCAGTCGCGAAACTCACGGGACACAGCTATCGGGTATGTGTAAAAATGAGCCTACTATTAACTAAGAGGGATTGGATGAGTCAAAAGGCATACCTTGACGTTAACCTACTTTTTTTTATTGAAAGTAAAAGCGCAATATGTTGAACAAAAAGTGCAAAAATCTGTATTTTTATTTTGTTATTTAAAGTATGCCTCCAATGGTATCATCAGGTTTGTTAACATTTCAATAATAGACGGCAAACCTGTCATTTGTGAATTTTAAACTTCTTTGGAAAGAAATAAGGAATGTGGAAACTGATGCGTTCTGGACACGTCTTGAATGGAAGGAAATCAACTGAATGATTCAATATAGCCCTCCGTAGAATTCAATGCTGTTCGCATTGTTTAGCCCTATATGTTCTTCTCTCGTCTGTAACGCCTGTTCTAGGTTTTATATTTGGCGGTATCACCGGACGGGGAAAGTATCGTGACGGGTGCTGGTGATGAAACGCTTCGATTTTGGAACGTGTTTTCAAAGGTGCGGTCTACACGCGAGACCAAGAGTGTGCTCAACCTCTTCACCGGGCTTCGATAATATACGCTATATAGTCAATATAATAAAATTATTATGTACTAATTAATTTAAAGAGCCGAGTCAGGCTAGCATCGAATGGGAGGGAAGTCTCAAGTCGTCGACCAAGTGTTCTTCGGATACGCGAAAAACCTAGGACTTCGATATGATGACGAAGAGAATGCGACAACAGAACGTGAATTGCTGGACGGATCAGATACGAGAACGTTAGAATATAGACACGATTATATCCGCTAAGACGTCAACATACTGGAACTGTAGGAACATGTACATGAAGATTCGTAGGGAGGTTCTCTTCGGAAAACTAGGCTAAAAAATTAGGCAACGCATCACACGATGGTGTTCATAACGGAAACAAGAAAAAGGTGAAAAATCCCTTTAGAATCCACCCTCAGAACTATCAGCTTATTATTAGAGGAGACATTATGTGGAAAAAAGACAACATTAGTAGCAACAACTAGGAAGACTCTTATAATCCAGAGGAACGACCCCCAGGCTACAGCAACAACGAAAAGACCAACATCAACAACATCAAAACAATATCAATCGCAAAAGCTCCACCACACGGTAAACTAATAAAAATATTAAATATATACTTTAAAAATCTAGATATATATATATATATATATACAAATATATATAACAAAACATTTAATAATATATGCGAAAAGAAGGAAAAGTCGCTTGTTGGATACAAACGCATAAGCGTTCTCAGTCTCTGTATAAATCTGAAACAACTGTGAGACAGTGAGGAATACGACTGCGTGACATGAACGAATGGCGAAATGATCGATCTGTATAAATGGTACGGGTGGAAAAATGCCGTGGCTGTACCAGGTTTCTTGTTTGCATGCGGCCCAACGTCATGGCACACATCTAAATATGACAACAAAGCAAACGGATCATGGAAATGGCGATGGTAGCTAATGACGATGCAGATATTATATGGATCCTGCGTCGAACCTTCTCGTGCGAGCTTCATGGCCGGTCTCGTTGGAATTATAGTGTGGATATACTGATCATATTTGTTTAAGAACGCGTTGGTTGGTTAGTTTGCTTGGAAAGTGCAGAAAAACCCAAGTCCCATTAACATGGTTACACATTAGTTTCCGAGCATGCCATCGCCATTAATTATATATAAGTAATATAAATATTAATTATAGCAGACGTGTTTAGGAAATTCTTTGAGAATATGTTTTGTTGTGCGATAAACAAAGGACAATAGGAACGAAAAAATGTCGCTACTTGCTCCGAAAAAGTGACACACTCTACGAGGATGATTAAACAAGAAAATTAATTGTATATGCACCGCGAACGTCGAAACGCAAAAGAAACGCTCGTGTACATGGAAGCAGAGTTCTCTGATTGAGTATTACCTACAATAGATAGATAATCGGACGCATGTTTGAACGGAACAACGTTTACATTGAGCTATTGAGGTCAAGGAAGCCATCATGGAGTTATATATTATTGCTATATTTAGATGATTATCGTTTTGAGGGGTGGCACAACTGACTGAAAGCTGGATAGGATTGCGGTTATTGTTCTGCGTTGTCTATAATCGATCAGTTAATTGATATAATCGATTGTTCCGACTAACTGACTGACTAATTGACTGTACAGTAGTACGTTTATGCAATTACATTATGTACCATTTCTATTATTCATATTTTTGTCAACGACTATTCTCCAGTTTGATAATTACGCCTGTTTTTTTTTCATTCAGTAGTCAAATGGTACCGGTTACTAAGATTATATATATATAGTGTGTGTAAGCACAAGGATAGGCAGGAAGAGGTACGGCTTGGCCAAAGATGACAGACTGGCTAAATGGAACAGAGGTGGCTAACCTGAAGCATCGGAAGGCAGAAACAAAGAAGACTCGACGAAATTAGCTTTATAGCTAAAATTAGAGTTGCAAAATGCACACAACACATGCCTCGAACGATGCGGACCGGATGCCAGAGACCGTTTGCAAGCCTGATGGTAAGGTCCGCATAGGACATTTTGTCAGAGGGAAATGTGGCAGTTGATGCGAAAACGAAGCTTACCTTACGAGGTCAGAGTGCGTGAAATCTGTCAAATGAACTGCTATCTAGAACAGTGCATACCGCTCCTCTGTAGTCAAGTGTCATCATTGCACTAAAAAGCCCGCTCCTTGTAAGGGGCGAGGCTTCTCCTGTGCGTACTGTGTCAGCCTCTAGTCGTCAAACTGGCGGGAAGAAGCATAGCAGATACTTATAAACCTAACAAACATAATATTAATAATAATAATGCACGGGGGAGTTACACAGTTAGACTTGAGCAAACAGCAGTTATGATTAGTACGAATGGCGTAAAATAAATTCCATAGACAACACGAGGCAATTTTCGGTGCGAAGTTACGACCCGGCCGTGACAGCTAAATTCGCTGCTACAATCGTATTTTCAAGTGGATAATTAAACTTCTAAATGGAAACAAAAACTAGCACTACACACAGCAGTGCTTACAGGGACGATCTGGAAGTGGGGCAAAAAACCATAGGAAAAATTGTCACGTTCGCGTTGTAGTGGTTCGCGAATTTCGGTTAATATGGGCTAGTAGTAAAACAGAATGATTGGCATATAAGATCTTTTCTTCCTAGACCATGTTTTGCTCGCGATAATGCGAAAGCGTTGGATCATCAAGCTAGCTAGGTCTGTTTTGCGGAAAGAATGGGAATGCAAGCAGTAACCGTACGACGCATGCGTTTATATTTACTGAAAATTATTGAGTTCATTTCGCACAATGCATTATTATTCATGCTGCGGAAAAGCAGGGCAATCATTTTTTATTACTACCTCTATCAATTATGTCTAAGCTGCTTCCTGTCCGGGGCGAGTGGTTTGTGGCAATACCTGTGAATACACTGTACAGAGAATATATAAGAAGCGGAAAGGAGAAAATAAATTTCTGCATACATTTAAACGTACTTCTCTACGTCTCTCTATTCATATGCATTTTATATAATAGAGAAAACAAATTTGTTATTAAGCTATGTGTTTCGTATTTTAGTAATGACTAACTGCGTACTAATTAGTTAGCACAATTGCCGGGTTTACGTTTTCCGAGAACGGTGTAAATTTCGATCTCTATATCACAAGAACAACAAATTCGAGAACGGTACTCGTAGTGGCATAGGAAGGAACAACAGCAGCATTTAAGCTTACGTCGAACTAGGTTACAATAGTTTCAAGTAAATATCTTCTTCCACGAACATTTTCTGCGGAAAATTTAAATCCCTAGCTTTAGAGCATGAACACCTTCCAAAGAATGCCTTCGCTCTTTTCTAATGCCGGCAAGACTTCCAAATTCCAAAGCAATAGGTGAATTTATACTATACGTTCACTTGTTGTCCTATGTCCCTTTGCGCAGCTAACGCTGCCGATTCCTGGCAGCGTTTTTAGCTCTAATGTTAACCGACAACGTCATAGTATCCTCGGAGCCTGCTAATACTACTATATGAACTTCTTGGAAACGGTACGATTGCGTGAAATCATAATTTGTTGAACCTATTTATGGCTACCTAACATGCTGAACTAGTAACGACAAGTTTCACCTTTTTATAAAGCTGTAAAAATATATTTTCAATATAACACAAAAATCCCTAGGTACACATATCCTATGAATCGTCGACTATGTACACTTGCTCGCATCAATCAACCACGACCACTAATTCGTGCTAACCGCGATGGACATTTTTCATTCGACGAAGGTAACCCTACTATTAGATGCCCAAACGTTTCCCTATCGACTTGCTGAGTTCATACTAGCATATCGAAGACTACATTACATACTCTATCGAAAAAATAGCATTATGCACGACAGACATTATAAAGAAGTTACAATTAACTTGTAACGTGTGTCGTACATAATGCCTTTTTTTTTTACACTACAATCATTTCCAGAGTACTCACTAGAACATCTAGAACAATTTAATTTACGTTACCACGATGCATTTTAGTTATCGAATGTTGCTAGTAGTATGCAGCAGAAGGTATCTGCGACAACGGACGCAGTGTTTTATACAGGGGGCAGGACAACATAATAGTGGAAACAACATAAACGGCCATAATTTCATTTCAAAGCTTACATCTATAAATCATTAATTTACAGATTATGTAACGCGGAGCGATACGCTTGATCAATAGCTTCTAGTTGTACTGAGCTTGAACCTTTCTATACAGTTAATGTCAGTCTATCATTTCACTAAGCAAAAATCATTTAGACTAGCTTATTCGTGAACTACTCTTTCCCTGCTATCGTATCGGCCCATTCTATATATAGAAGCTGTAGGCGATGAGTGAAATTTCGTTGTAGGAGTGCCGTGAATGCCCTTGTAAATTAAGACACAGCTTGTATCAAGGACAAGCGCATTTCTTCGATCATATTAAGCTATGAAAGCGATCCCAAGAGAAGGAGCTCTTGTGACAATCGCTGAAGTTCACTGCTAAATAAGCGGTTCGCCATAAGCGTCGCTATAATCTATAGAAGAAAAACAACAACTTTTGCTGACGTTAGAATCGCAAACGATTGCCGCATGTCTCCTCACGCCTCCTGTTTTACCCAAAATGAACTCTCATCTGGGTCGAGTCAAAAACGGGCCTTTGCCAACGACCGATATTCGTTTCCAGCAGCACATGTCGGTCTATCTGTTCATTTATACAAATGCTGAATTCTTGCGTGGCGCGTTGCGAAATCCCACTTAAGCAGAATAAATATCGGATGACAGCCCTGAGCACTCTCGCTACTGACTCGAGTACCTCGGGTTAGACGGGTCCAATCCTTTGCAATCCGTAATCAAAACAGGTGAACACCATTTTCCATTCGGTCATACCGCGTACGGTTCGTCGCATTTAACAATGAAGTATAATAGAACAACTGTATATCGCAAAAATCAATCAACCAAAAGCAAAAAAACTTTGTGGAAACAACGTTCCAACTGTTCTAGCAATAATATTCTCAATACACCTATATATACAATTACTGCTAAATGCATGGTCCGGTGGTAGCAACATTTGTAAATTAAATGAAAATAATAAAAAATCAAACCCACCCCAAAACGGCAATTTTCTCCGTGGCAATTTTTTCCCTGCTATGAATTTTACACATCTCTTTACAGACTAGTCATCACAGTGGAAAATCAGCGTCTATCTATGCCACCATTTTCACCGATGCTGCACATCAATATACCTGCATTATTATAAATGCAGTAGCAAACATACGCTGCTCATCTTACTAACCGTAGCGGCTTGTTTGATGTCTTCCTTTGGCTAACACATATATAGAACAGACAACCAACAGTAACGTGATACGAACCCGGAAAAAAAACGGAGGAACGAATTAATGCTCTTGGAATTTGCCAACTAAAAACCTGGGAATCGATTGAAGAGGCTCATTATGTAGCGAGTCCGGGAAAGTGTTTTCTGTGCAGATTCGCAGTAGATACGCGGCATTATGAGATCTACGGGATTGCAGTATGAAGTAATAATGGCTGTTACAGCAAAAGAGAAAAGGCTCTCTTTTTGGTGGCGACAGAATCCTGAACGAAGGGCAACTGTCGAACCGTTTAACAGATCGAGCGAGAAAATAGAACACGGCCAACAAATAATGATATATATTGCATTTGTGTGCACCGTAAAGCTGCCTCTGGCCCGACAGCACAGTTTTGAAAAGTTGTCATTAATCTATTATGATTAGAATCGAAACGGAATTAGACAGGGCGGATTTATTAGACTAGCTTTAGCTAGACAAGAAATGCATTGTAAGCGCTAGGCCATTTCCTGCTAGACTCTGCGTGTTAAACCCGTAAGCGAATTAATTTAGTTTGCAAATTCGTTTGGAAATGACAAATGCCGAACATACAGTTATTAGACAACTGTATGTTTGCCAAATTACATAGTACACCTGATAGTCTGTTAACGGCTCTGCTACGAATGTGCCTTTTTCCGTAACCCTGTGTGTATTTTCCCACAAATGTAGAATTTGCAGTTTCATAATCAGAAGCTCTAGGAGAGTATCGTCTTCGCCATTGTCGATAGTATCATTGGCTCAGGGAGTCTTGATCTAACAAAGGATCGTTTCAACCGGCAAAAACAAAATTCATGGTTGTGTCATGGTTGAACGTTGACCGAGGGGCTGCTGCTGCACGGCCGGTTTCCGGACAGTTTTCTTTCGTCGAGCTTTTCTCGGACTTCGAGAGACAGTCTTACGCTGAGCCCCAAACGAGATGTTGATACAATGAAAGTCCAGTAGATTGACGAGAGTCTTGTCGTTTACCCGGATTCCGTGTTCACGTAACTCGCGCTTAAAATCAGTTACCTCCAAGGGTTCGTAGCGAAGAATCTTATCGTATAAAGATGGTGTATTCCTGATATATCTACAAAAACAAATAGACAGCACGTGTGCGATTGTATTTAGATTTTTGAGGCTGAGGAACCCACAGGTTTTCTTTCTGCATGTGAAGAAAGGGGTTTTCTACGAGCACCTATCGTCGGATTAATTACAAGCTATATTGACTTTCAGGTACGTATATACTATCGAGTAAGAGAATTTTGCCTGGCACCTTTTTAAACTAATTTAAGCAATATGATTGAGTATTTCTGAAATTGACTATTTTTATCCTGTTACCAATTCGTATATCTGTTAAATTTTCAGTAAGTTTTCGGTATGTAACTACAAGTATAATTTGCTACTTGAACCCCTTCGAATACGATTGGAACAGTTTTTACGCAAAGTATATGATGCATGTAAATAAATAAGCCATAAAAACGGGCATTTCAGCTTACCACATTAGAGGGTCGTCATCATCGCTGAGAAGAAATTCGAGTAAAGTTTCAAAGTTAGCAATGGCGTATTTTTGATTTTGCTTTTTATAAAAGGCGTACTAAAAAGGTCTGCTCTTATGGGGTAAATGAATGCAAACTTTCACAAAGTCTGAGGCGCAGACGTAAGTGTGTCGGATTTTCTGCAGTTCCAAAAACTTGTGCAATGGAATACAGACCTCGTAATTTTGTCCTCAACATTGTCGCTGATCTCCTCATCGTCATCATGGATCATCGTCTCCTCTAACGGCAGATCTCCATCACTGTCATCACTTGACGACGAATACGTGTTTCGTTCTCCTGTCGCCTCCTCTCCCTCTGGCCTCTCGTCATCCGGATGAGAAATCTCCGGATGTGTCGTCTGATAGATATGTTTAAGAATCTGAACAGCTTTCCGCTTGCCAATACTGGGCTTTATACCATACTGGTTGAGTTGAGCATGCATTTCTGGCGTCTTCATCATACTGAACCTCGGTTGCGGCGTAACGTCCAAACCGTCAACGACCCGGGAAACACCTAGAGGGCTTGACAAAGACCCTGTTGGACTGCTTCCAATGCTAACCACAGCTTCACACAGCCCAGCCACATTTGGCAAGTCATCAGGCTCTTCGTTGCAGTCATTATCTTCGTCGTCGTCGTTTAACGGATGACCCGGCGTAGGCTGACTGAAACTTTTACGGTGCAACAGTCTTGTAGAAGTACTTGGAGAGCTCATCACGGATGAAACTGACGAAGGTGGAGCGTGCGAATGAGCCGCCGATGAAGCGGATTTTCTCTCTGGCGAAAGTCGCTGACTGGATAACCGTTGACTTACGGACCGCAAAAAAGCTGGCGGCGATGGAAGAAGGTTGCCATCGATTTCCTCTTCTTCATCAGGTGGACGTCGAGGCGTCGGCTGAATGGGGCTAAGCAGGGGAGGTGGCTGCGACTGTATAATGGCTCCTACTACAACGTCTTCATCGGAAAAGAGATCAGAACTGCTACCTACATCGATCGGCTGATCCGCCGAGCCTCCTGTAGTGCTGACCGGTACGCCGGCGCCTCTACGCCCGTTAGCAGATTCATTTGCTACCGTTGAACGATTCTCACCGGCTCCGCTCTTCGAGTCACTCCCACTAATAATTCGAGGTAACGAGGCAGTTGTTCTTACGGGCGTCGTTTGATTTTGGTTGATATGACTATTGCTTGTTATAATATCTTCATCGTCATCATCACTAATTGGAGTGACGAGTGGCGTGCTATGCTGAGTGCACGCAACGCCTGGTTGCGGCAGTCGTGGCGATTGCTGGATTCGGTGTCGGTCATCATTAGTTGGCGCAGTGACCGACACGGTCTCACAGGTAATACTCATGCGAGTCTTTTTACCAGAACTGGATCCAGTGTCGCTGGCATTCTCCGATGATATTTCCGACCCAAGGCGAACCCGCCGACGACGGATACTCGGCGACGGGCACCGCTTTCTGCCTCGTGCTCTCGAGAGCAGCGCCGTTGCCGAACTTGCTCCTCGGCTGACAAAACCCAGGTGCTGTTGTACCATTTGCGCAGGTTGTAACTGCGAAGGTAACGGACTGGGTGATCGCTCACGGATAAGTCGTGCTGCCAATTCATCGGTCTGATATTGGCAGCATAGCGTGAGAAGATCTTTCCGGACCCGGCCTTCGACGCTAGCTACAAATGATACGTCGGCCGCATACAGAAATCGCAGAAATAGAAGGACAGCCTCTGAGCAGCACCATGATAGTTGCCAAAAACTCGAGTCAGCACTAACCGTCTGTGTAAGCTTGGGGCAGCGTACGAACAATATTGTTTTGTGAGCGCGAATAGGTCGGTCTTCCGTTTCGATGACCAGGTCAGAGCATTCCTCCGAGTCCACAAGTCGCAGATACGAACGCTGAAGGTCGCGTAAAGAGCCCTCGTCATACGTGTTTCTCGTGGAAGATTTTTTACTGCTATTACCATTGGTCGACGAAGTCATGGCAGTGACTTGTTCCTTCTGTCCGTTATTATTCTTTTGGGAAACGCAATTATCGACCCAGTCGAGAACTCGTCGATCAAGATCAGCTGGCAACGGAGCTACGACGGAGTGGGTAGGTGTACATGATGGGCTCTTGTCTGGCAATCCTCCGACTATCGATGGAACCTAAGATGGAATCGTACTCTATCAGTAAATTTATCGAACAACAGTCAATACGGGGATGTCGACACATTTACAAAGGGCTCATAGTGTTGTATACGATTTAAGACCAAAGTCTTAACGTTAAATGTGTCTGTGAGGTAAGTAAAAACAAACGTTCACTACCTGGTAATTCGTGACTATTTCTCTTAGGGCTGATATCTCTCTATTATCTGGGAGGCGCTGGTCGGAAGTAGACGTTGACGTGACAGCTGTTGCCTCGGTAGCTGTCGGCGAAACCATAACGCATGGCTTCTTGGCAAATGGTGGAGACACTGAAGAAGTGGGTGGTGCAGTGGGTTGACATGCGATGACTGTTCCACGTTCCATAACTTGAATAGTCTCCACGCTAGAAACGTGCATATATATATACATATATAACGAAACACCCAAGCTGAGGTTGAAAGTAGTTCAGCGACGGCTAGATGGCATTCACATGAATGAAGCAAACGAGTCGTAAACGCTCAAAAATTAGCACACACATATGATTACACATAATTAAAAGCTTACCTAATGGTGCAAGGTTTATCCTTATCGTGCAAGCTTCCCGTTCCACTATCCAATGTTCTAGAAAAGTTTTTTTTCCGTTTACTCCCTCGGTGCTCGCAATGATCTCGATTCCGTTGGCGATGTTGGCCTGAACCGTTCTGGCCGTCCCGGGACGATTCGTTCTGCGATCCCTTACCACTTGGCTTCTTCTCTTCATCATTCGTAGTGACAAGAGCGCCAGCAGCGGAAGACATTTTCAAAACATCTTTCACCGAACACTTCGGATCGCTGACCGCAGCTGCACTCAAAACCTCCCGAGCAATTTCCTTTTTCTCCTTGGGTCTCTCCCTGGCCTTGCTGTCTCCATCTTTGGAACTGTCCTTCTCAGGTTCTTTTGAGCCTACCCGACTGTTTTTGCTTTGCCTGCCCTCCTTTCGTCGTGATTCCTTTTCCTGATTTGCACTTGTAGAACGTGATTCTTTGTTTGATCCAGCTTTAACCTATGGAACAGCAAGGAAGGGAAATTATAAATTTGTGAAGTTCTTTTTCTTTAATGATTAACGATGTGTTTTCTTGAAGTCGGACGCAGTGGTATAAAACTGGTCCTTTGGTATAGTCATATGTGCTACTTGAATGGAACGAGTATTTATGTAGTGTTTTCATGCAGCAACGACGAAATATTTCAGAATGTGTGTTACATATGCGGAACATTCTTTTGTATCTGGCGGCTTCAGTGAAACGAATAAAACCTGCACTTTTCGTAACTTCTTAAACTACGCCAATGAAAACGAAGGTTCGTTTTATGTAGTTACAGAGATACCTTTTCCATTTTATTAATACAGCAGTCTTGGTGCAGTGGCAGCTTTTTAATATTTGTTTTCTTGCTAATTGCTTGGTCCTTCGTAACTTCGTCATTTATTACCTGCTTAGCTTACTGATGCTTGCATTATTTACGCCATTCATGGCCCTTTTTAGTGCGAGTTACGCACTAAAATTGCACGACACGTACAGGCACTCAGATTCGCAAAATTTAATATTGTGACTCCCGGCTATACTTTCAACATTTCGACAATATTTTGCACAAATTAGCATTACATATACCTGGCTGGTCTCAGGCCTTGCGTACTTCATAGCTCTTCGGTTCTGGAGACTTCTGGGCATGCTACTACGAGAAGTTGAGGTGTACACACTCGGCCTCGTAGCCGCGAAGCCTCCATATTTCTTGCGGTATAGATAGCCCTATTACTGATCGCTATGTAATTTCGACCTGTTCCCTAAAACTACAATAAATGTTACACACAACTATTCTATACTAATATCTGGTAATATTAGATGTGTTCCCTCACCTGACTCGGAAAGGTAACAAAATGACAACGGATGCAGTCCTTACTAACTGTTGTTAAACGTAGTTCATTCGCTGATTCTTATGTAATTCAACTTTGGAGGGCTATTATTTTTCGCCCACGTGTACGTTAAAGCCCCGCCTTTGCGAGTATTTTATGTATTCAACACATTCGCGACTTATGCTGCTACATAGACGATATTATGTGACCAGCTTTCTTACCTAAAGGTACCACCGGTATTAGGCAGAATGGTGCGTTTAGTTGAAAGTAGATGCGATTAATATTCAACTGTCGGAATAGTTTGAAGACAGTTGAGAAAAATTGCCAAAAGATTCTAGCTCCAGTTATTCTAAACACGTTTGAAGTGATGAGGTGATAAGAATAACAACTTTTGGCTAATCTATCCGATATTTTCTTAGGGCCCGCCATATATAATGCAACGGCAGCTTGAAGTTAGTCATCAATGTAGCGAAGCCTATGACATTTCACTTTATAGTTACAAATGCATGTTTGAAGAGTCATGCCATAACGTTAGTTCTGCGAATAATCATGGAAAATAGTTGCGTGCATATACGTAAGCACAACGGCCTCATTTCCATAGAGCTCTTCATTACGCTTATGACAGTGTTGGTTTTATTCGGTTCCTCGTATGCGCAGGTAACTCATTTACGAGTTTACCCTAATGTGGAAACAAACGGTGACACATATTTGCAAATTTCTATATTTAACCATAAACGTGCTACCTTCCAGTTTTATTTCAAACAAGTACTAACACTACAACATGGCTAACGTGGCCTCTCCAAACGAGCATACATACTCATAACTCAGGGCGTATATTGCGTATAAGCTTGCTTAACACCTTTGAACAAATCATCCGCTTGCTATTCGGTAGAAACGCTCTCAGCGATGAAAAACTGTGCTGATTTTCAAATAAAATCACGTTGGTCCACTTAAGGCCATGATCTGGCTTCCCTAGGAGTAAGGCGTACGCCAAGCATGCTTTGCAATAAAAGCTTGAGCCCTCGATTTTATAGAAAGTTAAGAAAAGGCTAGTTCAATTACAAAAGGAGTCTGTATCAATTTTAATGCCACCAGAGCTTAAATCAGGAACTGCTATGCTTTAAAATTTACTCAATGGATCTAGCAGCTATGATAATCACTGCTGTAGTGCTTTTCGGAAGTTCCCGAAAACCAAAACTAGAAAACTTGTGATATGAGGAAAGTCCACTAAAGAAAAAAAACTCAGATGATAAAAATTGAGTGGACGGCCTCTTCGACAGATCGTTTGCTTCGGCACTTGGATGCTCTTGCTAGGGCGTAAACCCACACTTGCTTGTAAGCCCTCATGGACAAGACTGTACGAAATCTACAGCCCGAACTGTCGAACAGTTGTTACGGTTGCTGCATTTTCCTGACTCAGTTATTTCATTTCAGTGCTTCATAGAAAGCTCCGCCGAAAACGATCACCGTATATTCGCATACGTGCGCTGCGGTAGCGACACGACCCTGAGAAAGATACCCATGCGAAATTATACCTTGCTCCACTCAAATAATAGGCAGATAAGTCTCAAGTCCTATTCCTCTCGTTAGTATCAGCATATTATGCCACCACATCTACGTGATCTATCTTGCTTTTCGTTTAACTTCATTTTGCAGCGACGGAAAAATTACCTTTAACACAACTGCTCTAACGCTTTCACAGTAGTTCCTATTAATGTTAGGTTAACGTAGTTTGTAATATATTTACGATGATGAAGTATGAACTATGCAGGTAGCTTTATAATATATTTACGGTAATGAAGTATGAACTATGCAGGTAGCTTTAACTACCGTATTTAAACTAATGTAATGTGGTTTAATGATGTGTACAAAAGAACACAAGAAAAAAGATCAGTAATAATGAGATTTTTTTAAAAACAATCTGGTAAGATAATTAGTACAATTCTCTTTTAATTGGTCTAGCAAAATTATATTTTCCAATGATATAGGATCCATGTAAGTCTTCTACAACGATATCGGTTTGATTGAAGACTTTAGTCCCAACCAACAGAACCCCTGCTTCCTGATTACTCGGTACTAACTTGTCAGGAAGCTTTGTGTCTTCTGTCTTGAGACCTTTACTTATAGTTTGTCTGATACCTTTATTTAAGGCAGACGAAGGCTAAGTTTTTCTTCTTTAGAATCGCGAGTCACCACAGTAATACAATGTATGAAATTTAAAGGTGTGATCCCTTTTGAAGTTTAGAGCAATTGACATATATTGGTAAATTTTAAATTACTTCCTCCATCACAAAACTCTATGTCTAAGATCTGTTCAGGTACCTAGCAGTAAGCAAGTCGTAATCTGGAAGGCACCAGTCGGAGGTTCAACCTAACACGTAGTAGACATAATAAGGTGAAAGGCGTCAGTAGTATTTTAATGTAAATCTGTATGCCCAAAAGGGGCAACCGCAATGGTGTGAAACAAGTTTTTATTACCAATCAGTAAACATATCAATCAAGCCGAACTGAAGTTAAAAGCTACTATTCTTTCAGCTAAACTTGCAGGCTAAAGATACTTAACCTTTGCCTTTGTAAACGTCCTGTAACCTTAATAACGAAGAAAGCGTATCTTTATAAGAAAAATATGTATGGATATCAGTTTAAAGCCATGGCTCCAGTTACCAACTAATAATTTCAGTGAACCTATTCTTTCCAGCTCGAAAGTGATCAAGCATTTACTTTGCGTTGTCCCCAGAGATCCACCGTTTTAGAAACGCCAATCTGGTCGAATATATTAACGCAAAACAAATAGAAAGCACCATTAAGCGGAACGACATGCTAAACATTTTCTATTTAAATCGTAGTATCGTAAGTGACGATAAATGACATGGGATGTGGCATAATGTGTGGCAAGTGCTTTCAAGTAACCGAGCAAACAATTTGGATTATAACCTTTTATCCTTTTTCCTTAGAAATCATTGACAAACTTCATTGCACGTAATTATAAAAAAAAAATTTATGCAGTCTATAAAAACAAATCAGTCCACACTGCTTTGGAACCCTAAACTCACCTACAATCAATATTGCTCTGCTCTAGATGGCGGAACACAGTATGCGCTTTCAGTAGTTTTAGAAAACTCTAATGAAGATTAAACAAATCATTATACTAAGATCACTGAGGTGCAAAGATCCAGTTGGATCACTAAGTTTAGGCACTTAAACAGTATAGTAGACTTTATAAATCATGTTAGCTTTATATGATCGGTTCGTTCAAAAGATGCTTTTCTATTAAATGTTTTTTCTTCGTTCTTTTATTCCTAGGCATGCGGCGTTGTGCACACTAGCAGGTGTCACATATTTACTTTCAGCTCGAAACAATGGCATCAGCACAGGCAACGCACTGTTCATAATTGGTTTACCATACTAGTACCACAATAACGTTTAGCAGAACTAACGGATGTAAATTTGAGTAAGTCTATTAACAATAAACGTTTACCTCCACAAATTGACATCCACTTAAGGCAGCACACGTTCGACGATTGCTATACCCGCCAGAAAACGTACCTTGAAAACTGTACCGCTTGAAACTTTGTCGCGATTTGCCGGATCACTAATTTGACAAGGAAACACTGAAGCACTATGAGTCTGTACCACCAAAAAAAACCTAAATAGATAAGAAGCACATCACCTGGAGCCGCCCAATCGCCGAGCTACAAAACACATTTTTTTTTCATGAATGGGTGCATACGTAGGAGCATGCGGCCAGATAATACCTTTAATATCATTCGTATACGAACGTCACAGCATCTTTCTCTTTGTCTGACACTAAACGTCAGAGTAGCATCAATTGATAAACAACACTACTCATCCGCAACATCTCACTGTCTATGAAAAGAAAGCGGGTTTTTACCCCTATTGATCGACTGCTAAGCCCAGATGCTGCCGGTGTAGCCTCCCACTCACACAGTGGAGCATGTGTCCGTTATCCGCAGCCCTATGACGTTACTCACTGAATATATGTTGCTAGGTAGATCGACAACTACTACTGAAACATTGAAAAGCGTCAAAATTGATTTTTGTAACAATCTTACCTTCAGACAAAAAACTACGACCGTATTCTACGATCCATTATAAAAATGCGTCTTAGCTCAGCAGAGTTGCTCTGCATATGCCTTACAAACAACGGGGCATCCACTTAATTGCTATTATCATAACTGGAGCACATTATCCCATGAACATCTTACAGCTACGGCGAGATTTCAAGTTGCTGAAGATAGCATAGTTGCAGTCTTTACTATGCTGTTCGTAAACGATACATCTCACAGCAAACTACCCTCCCACTCCGTCCATTATGACGTTAATGCTCACGCAAGCTAAACGTCGTCGTTTTCAAACGCAAACCAGTAAATTATCGAAATAGAGCCCAACAATCTAAATCAAATATTGAATAAACATACTTGTTTGGAAGCATAGTAAGCGAAAGAAAACCGCAAACCACTATTGGTAGAAATAAAACCCCATCCGTGGCTATAGTAACCCACGAAACTGCAGTGTATTAATAAATGTGTAAATACATAGTCTTGATAATTTTTTAATTGTTATCAGTTCAAGCCCGTTACTCACAGCTCTCGTGAAGGTTCGGCTGATTTAGCGAGCTTAATATATAGCGTTAACATAATTTTTGTTTAAAGAGACGTACGCGTTTTCCAAAAAGGCGAATTTAATATACATTATTAGGTGACTTTTTTTTTTTGTTAAGATAAATATTTTTGAGAAAAATTTGTTTTGGACATAATTAGGAGAGGCAAGTTTGTGTGAACTGGCTTTATCAAAATGATTAATCGTTTTTAGAATATTACAGTGCTGTAATTTTGGCTTTATCAAAATGATTAATCGTTTTTAGAATATTACAGTGCTGTAATTTTGGCTTTATATGCAGCGGATAATTGCCTCTTACAAAGGTCTTAGCCAAACAGTGGTCAACACAGAATTAAAAACAAAAATCAAGTAAAATACATTTCGTTTTAAAGGTTATGTCAAGTACCCGCTCATATCTTACGCTGTCCTGCGGTAGAGACGGGTATTCCAACGGTGACCAACATCTAAATGGCTTTGCCACATCGTATTTTCTAAGCCTTTCTTCAACTTAATAAGATAATGTATTGAAGCCAAACGACGGTTAGTTCAAATTCCTTATACAGAGAGTGATGCAGCGTTGTATTTATTAAACAAATGCTTGCATTACTAAAGGGTTTTTCCATAATCTCGAGATGAAAGCCAACATGTGTTAGTACCATTCTCAACTGACGTTAGAGAAACATTTTAGCTAGTGGTACCCACTATTCCGTTTTCCCTGTGTGCAATAGAATATGTTACGGGCTTCGTTCTCTTACGGTTACGGGTTTTTTCGTAGTTGTGTACTAAAAATTCGTTAATCGAAATACGAAACAAACAAAACGTACAGTACTGTTTTCCGACTCCTTGTTGTTCGTTGCTTCCAGCTGCTGCTGCTGTTGCTGCTGCAAAGATGAGCGATCAGTTGTCTCACGTTGCGAGCATTGCTTGCCTCTGTGCGGTACATATTCCTCAAATCCTGGTACCACGTAGGAACAATTCGAATCGTCACCCAAAGCTAGGTTGTACATTCGAGGTACTTGGTCAACAAAAGAAATGTCGCGCTTTTGCCGCCTGGCTGGCGTATAAATGGCCGAATTTAGTGGGTGCGACAAATTTATGCAAGCCTCATTCGTCTGCCGTTGCTGATCTGGACGTCCGTGATTCTGCGACGAAGAAATTCTCTGAAGACTCTTGCCCTTTGTTTCCTTGACAGTGGCACCCTCCATACTTCTTTTCGTAGACAACAATGCGGCCTCCCCGGTGTCTTCATCCTTGGTGCTCAATCGATTACTATTACTGTTTTTATTGTCATGATGGGGATTGTTCCCACCTACCGTAACGATCGTATTCGTTCCATCATTTTCCCCCGGAGGCCGTCCTGGCGACCCATATTTTTGTGTGAGCAGCGCATGCAGTCTCTGGCGATTAGCCGCGTCCCTTTGTTCCGGCGTACACGTGAACAGTGCATGTAATGTTCGCTGTGTGGAACGGGCCTTCGAAGACGCGATGGACGACGCCGGAACGGCAGGTATTTTCCGCCGTTTGATCTGGAGGATCTGCTTCATCATGCACCCGGGTGAGCAGTAGAAGTCGAAAGAATGCCAATTCAAGCTGCGCTAGATGCAAGCTACGCTTACTGCTAGTGGACGAAGGACGACCGAGCTTCAGATGGCGGTTTCAGAAGAAGATTTCAGGGGGGCGGCATGGAATCTCCGAGATGAATTGTGCAATGTGCTCTGTTCGCCGCAATGCTGTTTACATGCTGCAACGGAGCGAGCATGTCAAAGGTCAGCTATAGATAATTGTCTATTTCATAAAACTACCAGATTTTACTAAGTAATGTTACTAACATTAAGTTATTAAAAACAGGTAGACAAGCACAACCTTCACCTATGACTATAGCAATTATCTATAATCCACATTTCTTCTTTTTAAAGCTGGATCTTGCCCGAAAATAACGGGATTGTAGCAGTGTTAAATATTTGCGTCGTCAAAAATTTAGATAAGCATCGAATAATACAGTCAGCAGAAAATTAGATCTATGCAACGACACAAAATAGCATCTGCTTAAATTAATGTACAGTTGAAATGAGAAATAATCATGCTGGGAAGAAGCCACGAAAGGTTATCATAGCTGAGCCGGTTTAAGACCGACCGTTCGCATCCATGTTTCAAACGCTGCGAAGGTAAAGACAGAGGGTAAAGTCAGCAGAAGTTCGCAAGGCTTCGTAGTATTCATTGCTGCAAACGTGCCATAGTGTAAACATTGCCACCTGGGAAACCCTGTACTTGATACTATAACGCCAATAACAACCCATAATCATCATCGATGCATATCGTATCGGCAGCTAATTTGCGTGCACACCGTCTTATCAATGCTGCTCACTGGGAACTCTGCATAGTCAAAATGCATGGTTTTGTCATCCATTCACCCAATAAAAGCCACAGTTCCATGAGATTATCGTATTAAATGGCGTGTTTTTCGTTTACTATCGATTGTAAACTCATGTCGGCGGTATAGGTAGCTGCCTCAGTACTGTGCAGCGGATCGACATTATCAACATCATAGGGGCGTCTGTCGACCGATTCGTCACCGTAAAATCTGAAATATTGCCGTTACTGTATTAGATTCGTTTGCTGACTTATCGAGCTGCTTCTGTTACCACCGCTGGCCTAGCTCCCGGTCGGTTGTTCAGTTGGACTGAAGTCGCTACGCTGACGCTGGCAACGCTGGTGGCGGCGGTCGCTCGTCGGCCAACTGCGCACAGCTGTTGGCCCAGTATCATTCTGTTCTCACGTGAAAAAATTACCGATTGTGACCAAAAGGCAGTCGATTGCCAACCAACGACAGGCAGACAACTATGAATGCAGGCCGCTAAAGAATTGTCCGATCCGGCATGTCCCTCTGTATATAGTAATTATAGTAATAGTGGTGAGACCAACAATAGGAAGTTCACAACAATATAACAACATGCTAACATAGCCATCATTGCCGCTGTTAATGGTTTATGCATTCGATAGACAAGACGAGTGAGGACAGACGATTGAAGTCTTGAAACTGATTATTACAGATATGAGCACCGAGTACAGCTCAATCAAAAAATAATCCAAAGTTGGCTTTGTTCAACCTCGTTGACTACGAACGGATTCTCTGTTCGCGTACCTCCCCCGCTTCGTCTGACCAACTTGCTTAAATATTTCCGGTAACTTTATAGCATCATCATCATTATCATGAATATTAAGCCCAACGTCGATTTCGATTGTCTCTTCCTCGGATTTCATTATGGACGTCGTTTCGATAGCCACAGGCGACTCAATATGGTAAAACGAGCATATTTGACAATTCAGTAGATCAAACAACACTAAACAGGAATTGAGTTTGTTAAAATTCAAGCTAATCTGTTAGCGTCGCGTTTACTCTCATCATTGAACAGTCCTGTTAGTTTGGAGCTACCGGTAATAATCCGTTCGTCAATGATGAATTAGCCGCCCTACTAGCGTAATACTAACGGGATACTCCGCTAGTCGACGTAGCAGCACAGCAAGAAACAGAATCAGGCACTGAACTTCGCTTGCAGACCCGCTTTCCTCAGAAGGATTGACCAGACCTGGGAGGCCACGACACAAGATCACCGCTAGCTACCATCAACAGCAGCAGTAGTTACCTCTGCACAGAGGTATAAGCACGCACTATTTGCCACCATGTACAATAACAATTATGTCTATTTGACTTTAGAGCAGGTGTAAGCAATGCGATACGGTGGCCGCTGTGTAGCCACACTGCAGTAAGCGATTCCATACCTACGCCACACCGCACGGATCAACGAATCGACCAGCAGACGTTCGATTTGAGCAACGTATCCCTTTCAAAAAATACACGATTGTATGCACCGCCAACAAGGTTACGATCATTCACGATTCAGTCAGTTGAAGCCCATCTATTTATTATGTACACCATGAACACCCACAGGTAACGGACACGCACAGAGTTGCCGATAGGACCAAGCAATAATCGACGCCCTAGCACAAGCTGTCACCACTAGCACCAAACTGAAGCCAACTAGCACAGCTCTATTCGATTCAAGACGCGCGAAGAAGCACTCACCGACAAATCAGAACAACGGGCCCATGGCGGGGCACGGCGACGAGAGCAGAGGCGCGCTCGGTTCCAATCAGACTCACATATTGTTACCGTTGTTGTGTCTTCCGTCGTCGTCCTTGGCGTCGTGGTCTTTGCGGTTGCCGTAGAAGCTCACGTGTCACCGCAAACCACTTCGTACTGCCTATTACTTCGCCTGACGACTCGCACCACTGCTGTTGACCATCACAGCTTCGCCGCGACTGCTGCTTCTGCTGCTGTTAACGGCGGCGGCGGCGGCGGCGGCGGCAGCAGCGGCGCAGAAAGAACCAACGAGTAGAAACAGCACTACCTCCCAGTCAGTAGCAGTGGAGCGTTGTTGGCCCGTTCGTACTGGAAACTACAGCAACGCAGCAGCCGCCACCGCCGCCGCCGCCGCCGTCGCCGTCGCCAACGCTATTAGCTGCTGTAGATCGCCGTATCATTTGATGCTGGTGTCTGCTAGCTCCGCTGCGTTTACCACAAGACTGCCGCCACTGCCGCTAATGACAACGGCTGGAACTGCGGAGTATCATGTGGATAATTAGTCTACTATTACGATCCGCAGCTAAACAGCCGCCCTGTAACGAATACGAACCGCGAACAACGTTCGAGGCGCTGTCGCCAGAAGCAACAGCCGTAATGACGATTCTACCGAACCCAAAATATTACCCACTCGCCAATCAGCCCTATAGCATCTGCTCCTCATCAGCCACTTGACGACGATTGGCAGCTAGCAGCCTCCATCTATCAATCGATCTATGCTTGTACTGCTCTGGACAGATCCCGTGCCGGGCCATCTGCTAACGCAGTAACAGCAGCAGCAACGATGGCGCCCACTGAGTGCTGACAAACAAATAGATGAAATAGGTGTTAGAGCGACTGGCTGTGAACGGCCGATGTTTGCTTGCGGTGTTTTTTGCCTAACAGCGTACCTCTTCGCTAGACAATGCACACACTCACACGCACACACAGACACCTAGTCACACGCACACACACACGGCCGTCGAGTTCGCTCCCTTGCGCCGGCAGACACACTTGACTGTAAACACTCTAGCCCTGAAATATGTATAGACAAAAGTAGAAATATATCTGTGTACATAGATACATAAACGCTGCTATTGGTCACTAGCGGCAACAATAGCGTAAATCATCGACAGCGACATGGCAACAGCTTTAACATTAATATGAACAAAAGCAGCGGCAGCTCGCAGCGGCACTACCATGTCTGGCAACAGAACAGGGAGCGACAACGACGTCAGCGAGCGGCGGTGAGGGCACGCAGCTGTTGGCAGTGGGTATTCTGCTGGGTTGCCTGGGCAGGCGCACTACAGAGGGCGATATAGCATAGCAGTAAACGCTGGAAGAGATCCTTAATGCAACGGCTGTTGCCTGGTTACTTGTCGAACGACAACGGCAGTATAATGATGCCGCCGGCGTTAAGTGAAAAATGCTGTTTCAGTGGCAGCAGCGGCCGCTGCGACAACGCCAGTCTCTGCCGTATAACGGTTTTGGAAGGGTTGTGAGCCGTTATTGGCTGCTAAGCAGCACACGGCAACCACCTGACCCCCGTCGCGTAGTCAACCAGCAGCACCCACAGCAGCATCGTATCCGAACAGCTCGCCAGTTCTGCTTAATTGTCCCTTAAGTCAGCTAGTCAATCATTTCAGTTAGTTCAACAGCAGCTTCAGCGTATCACTGTTAAACAAGCCGACAAAGACGAAGGGCAATATTGACGCTTCAGGCTGTGGAAGAAACAGACGATGCGTCTAGATATCCGAGTTTGCAGATGTCAGAAATTCGCGCGTCTGATATAGTGAGAGGTCCGGAGGCTGCCTCGGCCGTTAGGCATCTACCACGTTTCCGGACAGTCTAATCAGGATCGGCACTAACAAAGAAATGAGCTTAAGGAAGGGCGTGTGTTTATCAGTACTAGGCCGGGCAAAGCTGAGTCCAGTCATTGAGGCTGGATCAAACACTACACTGAATTTCTATATATCTCTCAGTCCCAGCTGTACGCAATAATACATAAAATCCGCCTCCAAAAAAGGCAAAATAGCAGGTTTACAGGGCCAACCATCAGTGGCTGTAGCAAAGCTGGTTAACAGCTAAAGATCATCCTCATCATCGCTGCCGCCGCCACCGTCACACAGGCAACGAGCTTGAATCCGCTTATCCAAACCATTATTATGAGCGGGCGAGTGGATGAACAATCGCCGATGCTGCTGCACTACGAGCAATGGTCTCTGTCGAACTGCCACCGTCGCCCCTGCGCAATTCTGCTGTCTGCTACCATTACGCTACTACTATGGGCGGTGGCAAGCAGGGATTGTAGTAACTGCAGGTTGTGCCAGAGCTGCTACGAGCGGGCCAACAGCCAAACAAACACACAAACGAACAACAGACGACGACGACTACGAGAGCGATAGCAACAAAAAGTATGACTGACAATGAGCACAAGTTGTTTGGTCCGTAACATCTGGCGCTGTCGACGCTACTGCTGCTGTTGTTGTTGTTGTTCATCGTAAATACACAGACGCAAGCTGAACAGCTACAGATCTACATAAATCCGATCGTTGCAACAGCGGCACCCCTTATCATCAGATAGACACGGTTTTCTGATCATAGTGATTGCGGCACTCAGCAGTCAAGTTCGTTCGTTGGTATAAGGCAAAAGTCAGACAGAGCGCCACACCAGTTGCTGCGCTCAATCGAACGTTTGCGCAACGTTGGGTGGACACCTGTTCGCAGGAGCAGAAAAGCAATAACAGAGATATTAGCATTTACAGTTGATATACCACAGTGTAAGGTATACATCGCATGATGAAGCCTTATTGCGAAGAAGCTATATAGATACGACCATTGGCTCGTTGCTCTGTTTACTACATTACGTAATCCATACGAATCCGACTGCCCGCGCTACACGGAGCCGTACGGCAACCTATACGATGAAGCAAACGCCGCTAATGACTTGATGAACCACTGGGTGCAGTTGGCGACCGAATTAAATTACACTGACTTACAACTCTGAAAGCCTGTGGGTCAAGTAGGAAAAGGACAAAGCACAGCTGGAAGAAATCAGTACTGCATCTGTAGTTTTCATATGATCGACGACGGTACAATTTTTAGATTTCTATAAGATTTAGTAAGCCTTATAGGAATCTAATTAACGTAATAGTCATCTTTTATTAGTTGAAGCATACACGACATGCAACGATTTTTTGGCAAATCGACAGTCACCTTAAAGTGACCGCAAAACTGTTCGCGCTGCCGCATCATCGTACTGCGGCCGCAGGTTCGTTCCCCTCTTTGATTCGATTCGAATTTTCGCGCCACATCTTCTGAGCGACGGTGGCCCATTTTGCAGATTTCCTGTTTTTTTTTTTGTGGTGTTCCTGGGTACGATGCGCTGTTTAACACATGTGATTAGTTTCAATACCAGGCTTGAACCCAGCATACGCTGAGTACGCTGTTTGCACGAGATGTCTAGGCTGCCTAGCTCTAGCCAACCATTGAACAAGAATGGTGTGGAGGTATTTGCCAATCGCCTAAGAAGCGCGTTTCCGAAGGCGATGTAGCTGGTGCGTGCTGATTGCTAAGGGCGCTCTGTCGTTGCCACTGCTGCTGCTACTACTGTTGTCACCTGGTGACGTACCGAGTCCCTCTGTCTGTCTGCCAGCTGCTGAACAGCAGAAAACACAACACAAAAGAAATTGCAACGAAACGAAATTAGCGCGGCACTCGAGTGAATTGAGTCTCCGTGAGACCTTAGTGGCTAACGTATTTGGCTGCTAATCTCAGGAACACGTTGTGGTTTACATTCGAACCCAGCTTAGACACTTCGTTTCGTGCTGTGGGCCAGGCGTCTGATAGAACGCCTAACGACGATACCGAACGTGAAACTCGAAACAAATCGACTCGAGTGAATCGAGTTCCGCCGCAATTCTTCATGCTATTCTCGCTTTTCGTAGCGCAGACTTTTTCAGATCGGCTTGACTTCGCTCTCACTCTAAACCTCAGCTTGTGGGCAGCAAAGTTCTCAAAGGAGAGCGAATAGACTTTTAGCCCAGCCAGTCTATTGCACCCAAATAGCCCGTGGCTGCTGCTACTGCCATTGCTGTACCCGAGGGCTCGCGAGAAAGAAGTTCAAAATCCATAGAGGGTGAGAAAGACCAAGCCTAGTGGCGCGAGATGCCGTGTACAGCTCTGGTAAATTGTGATTACCGCTGGTGGACGAAGGCAAATTGCACGCCTGTTGAGAGCGTCTCAGCGTCAGTTGGCTGCGGATGCCACCCGTGCACACTGAGCGAACAGGCTATTGTGCGTGTTACTTTGAGAAGAGTTTTCGGCTTGATGATGCTGATCGTGGTTTTAATCGGAGTCGCCGTCAACTAAGCAAATGTGGTCTTGGCGATGGTGATTCTGTTTCTCCGTAATAGTTTGTGTGTCCGAATGAAATTTTTTTGTGAGAAAAACGATGCATAGGAAATAGTCGTTGTAGCCCATGATAGCAGAGACGTCAGCTGTTAAACCAGGCTATATTAACTGTGTACAGCAACAAGGTAGATTCGAAGACATACCCATGACGACTGGGCATTGAGACCTATATTGGTGGTGAGTACCGGGCGCAAACACAACGATCGAGTGTAGCTTCATAGCAAATATGTATGTAATCGTTCCGAAGTGGGTCCTACTAGCTTCATAATTTGCATGTTGTTATGCTAGAAATAAGAAGGGTTCAGGTATTTTTGCTGTTACCTAATGGATGTGACGAGATAGATTGTATCTGCTGCCCCCATACCAGTACTTCAATATACCTGCTCTATTGAGGTCTGATCAGCTGGTCTAATGGCCAGAGTGTCTTAGGAACAGTATTATATTTACGTAAGTAGCATGTTACATATTTGTACAGATGTGTGTATTTAGTTTATTGACAGAGCTGGATGTTGCCAGTTCCAAGTGTTAACTCTTAAAGCTAAAGTTCAGCGCCTCCATCGTCCGCTGATGGTTTTGCTTCTAGTGAGCTACCGTTATCACTACGAGCCACAAAGTGACATTCAGTAGAGGGTCCTAAAAGCGAAAATACTGTAGTGAAGCACGTAATCGAACTCAGGTGACACTTTTGGCTACAGAAGGCTTCTTTTTATTTATTTTTCATTTTTCCTCGCCTATAAATGGTGCTGTCTCTACTGGCGATGTGCATCGTTTATTTGTAAACGTATGAAGCTAAAAAAAGTCGTAAGCTCTGTTGAGGAAGAACATAGACTCGTAATAATTTCCCCGTTTCATGAGTTACAACAGGTAGTGTAATAGAAACTCAGCTGTTTTGACCTACATATTTTGCTGATCACCTTCTATACGATACGTGATTGTTTGCCTGCAAGCAACCAGTGAATATCTTCTCTAGTAGAAATTGTGCTAGTCGGCCTTTCGATGCCACGGTAGAGACCCATCCTTGACATCCTCGATTTCACTGTTGTGTACCGTCGCTGTTAGCCACGGTAGCGATTAAAAGTGTCGCACATCTGCGGTGGTATGATGCTTGTTTTTCTTAGTGTAACAATCCTATGACAATAATGATAACCGAAAGTTGAAGAACTTTCGATGAATTTTCGTTAATCTATAGTGAACTGATAATCACTGCTGTGTTACTGTGAGAAAAAAAACTTCTGGGAGTAAACGTAAGATTGAGGATACAACAAAATATGCAGTTGTCTCGGCCTCAAATTTTACTTGAGCTCAGCAGTTGTCCTCTGCTTTAGTTGGTGGCGAAAATTCTCCATTGGATAGTTTCGCGGATCGAGCCATCCGCTAATGTTCGCCAACGATTGATTAAGTCTATTGTTGACGAGGGCAGCTGTGCGTTTGTCAACGCAGCTTTGATTGCCTTTTCTTTCGGACGAGAAGCGATCTTTCGTGTACATGATCAAAGACGTATGGGGTACTGTAGACGAGAACTGGACGCATTGTTAATGCATACGGTTTCTGGGCAGCGCTGTCTTCGACGGAAAATCTCGTATTACGACCAGTGTGGAATTAACTAGTTGGGTACTGTAACGGGATTTCGATGCTGAAGTAATCTCTATCGGCGCAATAGCAACTTTGATGAGAGAAGCCAAGCAGGAAATTTATCAAGCAACTCATTTAGTTTAAGCAATCATTCTGATTTTGCCCCTCAGAATGCCCCCAAGTGTGTCAGATCCTTGAAGCTTAAAAAGCTGCGAGTTATCCAAGTCAAACTAATCTATATAAAATACCTTGATCTGCATTTCGTTAATGGTAGAACGTTTAATTAACGTGATGTATAGACCAGCGGTTAGCTCTTATACAGTCCAGTGTGCAACGGTCGGCTTATTCCTCTCCTTTTTGAATTTAGCACTCGTTGGCTTCAAATGCATATAATTTTATTTTGGTTTAGTTTTGTTTGAAACGGTGTCAAAGATTACCATACCGCAAAAAAACATGAACACATAAGTTCGTCTTTGTTGTGGTAAGGTGCTTTTGCACTAACGATCCTTCCTAGAATGCGTGTTCCTATAGAGAGCAAGTTATATGAGCAATAAATATCTGGGTCTGTTTTGCCTGTTATACACATAGCACTCTACCGAGTATTCGATTGTTGCTCACTTTGTTGTCAAACACCCGAAATGCGTGAATGAAATGGTTATTAGCCAGTTATTCGGCGGCCGCCTTGTGATTTGTTTTCAGTGCCTACGGCGTTGTGTATTTACCAGGACACGGCTTGTATTCCGCCATTCTACGCTTAGGTACAGGTTAGGTTGTAAAAGCTAGAAGCTGTTTATCCTCATAATTAACTCGATCATGATCTCTAATCATTTGATGAATGTTTAACAATCTAACTATGTACATTGATTCAAGTTCCCATCATGCAAAATAAACAGCGTGTGCTTTGAAAAGAATAGCGATTTCCAATATGATGTGATTTCGTGTCGATTTTGTCCTATTTACACTTAGCAGATTCTCCTATTTGTGGTGATTTCTAAGCTGAAATTAACGGTCTCTGGTCTTATGCACTCATTTTAGAAGAATCCTCTAATCTGCTAGGTGCATCTATTGTATTTTTGGCGCCCTGATAATCGGGTAGTCGCCGGTAAATACGTCTAGTCTGCTGGACTGGTTTATACGTAAAGCAAAAAACAGTTCAATATACTGCATTTTTTCACGCTACAATATTAAGATGTATTCAGGGGTATGGGAAAGGCTGGGTAGATCTTTTTGGTTTACTGAAAACTTCTGGAAATTTTAATGGTCGCCTTATGAATATTATTCTGTTAGCAGGTGAAACAAACATGCTTTTTATCCCCTGACCAGCTTGAAATAAGGCGAAATGCTAGCTTATTTCAATAGAGATGACTCGCTTATCTAAATAACAAACTCGCGAAGTTTTTATCTGGCATGGGAAGGGACGAGACATATATCGTAAATATATACAGGTCGTACACTCAATACCGAGACCAATATTATTTAATTATAGAATGTCAATATGCCCTATCATTTATTGCTGTAAATTCTGCAGCTAGTTTGCAAAAGGCGACGCGACGGACCATTTTTCAAAGCTGACCAAGGGATCTTCCAATTAATTGAAAGGGACTAGGAAGCGTCTAGAGAGAATCGGTTAGACTCAGCTGCTACGCATATCTTACTCACCCGCAACTCCTTACCTTTACTGGTTGACAAAGGACTCAGGTGAATTCAGCCGAGCTGCAGACCGTTTAACAGGGGGACTACTAGAGGTTGGACCGGTTACCTTGTGCCAACGATATATGTGAATGTTCATTCGAGCTGACTTGTTTCGCGTGGTATGAATTGAACTAGCTGTCATGTCTGACTCAGCTGGTGATGGCAATGGATTACCGCTTCATGTCACCTGTTCGCTTGCAAGCGCTCCTTTGTTTGGACATTAGATGTTTGGGCAACAGAAGTACCCCAGCACAGGATAGACGACAACCAATGGGTTCCTGCGGCAGCCAACCGAAGGCGCGGTCCCCTGCTTTTGTAATGCCGGATGCTATTGTCGAGCGAATAATAGCAGCTGGACGCGAGCGTTTGACGCACCATGCCGTGTGCAGTTAGCCGCTGTTGGTTGCCTGTATTTGGCAGAAAGAATAGAAGCTCTATGCACTCAGACGGCAGGAGTCGAGCGAAACTTTTATCTCTGCATTACGGTGCCTCCTATATCTGTATATATCGGAAACTAACTTTCCATTTTTTTGTACATTTACATTTTAGAGAAGAGTGATCGTAAGTAAAGACGCGGAACCTGTTCACGAGACGCATCGACAGAGTAAAGGACAGGACAACAATTACGGTGTAAGATACTAAAAGCTTCTAAAAGAAACTTTTCAGGCGAACTGGCTGTATTTGGCCGTATAAAATGGCATGAGCGTCTATTTATGTGACTCGTCTTTGCGATCGGTCTCAAGCTGCAGCCATATTCAATAGACATGCGTCATGAAAAAGAACAACAGTAAAAAATGTGCTTTGACCACCTAGTTGAAGCCTAGTTGTCCGAACTAGTAGGGCTATGAAGCCAGATAGTAGAAAGTTTTATTGTCAATCCTAGCTACTACGAAAATTTGACACAAATCAAGTAACGTCAATTTCGATTTGTGCTATGTATTTTCAACATATAATGACTGGATCAATGAGAAGTGTTATGGGTTGACGTGTGTCTGTTAGCTTTGCGGTCTCACGGCGATGGAATCAGTAATTACAGTGGCCGGTGGAGTATCGTAAAACGAGACTTCTACCTGCCACCCCTAGAAAGCTTAAATTGACAGTGGGCTATTGCAACGTTGGTATATGTATGTATATTACATCATTAGCTCTTTAATATTTCTTTTTTATTTTAGGACCACACTATAATAAAGGGTGGTCCTAAAATAATCATTGACACCATTGTCAAGAGCCACATTTTGAAATATCTAGTGAAGCCCGCGCCACCCAATATATGCCACAAGGGCTTGTAATTTGTCCGGCTATAAAAGTAATGCCATACACGGATGAAAACTGCATTAAACAATTTATCGATTATTATTCATAAGATTTACTCAAATGTTACAACTAAATCTGTGGATGAATTCCCTATGGTTATATCCCCGTAGGAATTAACCCGTAGATCGTTTAGTCGATTCAATCTGCCTGGATCTGTTGCGTTTTATTTTCGGGAATATCGGCAAGCTGATTCTGGTATTCAGTGCAATAATATTCAATTGAATCAAACACTTTAGTCTATTCTGTTTAACAGGATTAACAAAGGGTAGGTTCTTTGCAGTTTGGCGACGAAACATAGATTTTAGGTAGAACAGCAGGTATACTTTCGTTTAATAGCCAATGTCGAGGCACTGTTGCGCGTGTAATACATTAGCACTAAATTGACTTCTTGATGCTTTGTATTTCCTGCAGTTATCTCCGTTTATACAAGTATAAATGTTTGCAGAAGAATCGCTAATCAATGTGATGTATGTTATACTATGGAATGAACCAGCTATCAGGGTTTAGAAACATATTTCTTAGGAGAATTGTTTAACTTATGCAAAATCGCTTTTACTCTGAGCGGTTTAGCCAACGATTAAAGTCTGTAAATAATAATAAAATAAAGAGTCTAGGTCTGCACGATACCAGTCCTGGAAGTGGCGAATGCGAGCATAATATAGCAAAAACATTGCGTGCTTTGTTTTAAATCTGAATGGAAATTTGCTGACTTGCACAACTTTCGTTAGAGCATTGGCCGATGCCCTTCTAATGCTAGGACGTTATCAAACCACCCGAATGAGATCAAACATATGTGTGGCCAGAAATATAAGATCCGCAACTTTTTTTTGATCTAGATATAAAAAGGTACTGTCTCCTATCTAATTCTGTTATGCCTACTTCGTTAGGAGCTATTGATATATTATTAAATATCTATTAAATATATAAAGCACTTACCCTTATGATCTGTAATGAAATTTAGGCAAAATTCAGGTTTGTAACTTCTGAAGTGCTAGCGCGCAACTTTACACCGTTTTTAAGTAGCGCAAAAATATTAAGCTTATAAGAGTTATTCTGTCAGATTTAGGTCAAATCAATTCGGCAATCATGCATTTTATCGGTGTGTACAATAGAATAAGTTGCCCTGTAATCATATGCGATTTTGTCTATTGTTTATGCATAGGCAATAACCAGTAACGAGTGTTTTGAAACTCTTTCCAGATCATGTCTTCATCAAAGGCCCCACCAAGAAGCGGCAAGGTGTCCAGGGTTCGACCAATACAGCGTATGTCTCTCTTGTTATCTTCAAGAAAGGCATTTTGATTTCCACTTGCGTAATGTGGTCTTCCTACGTCCAGCTGGATGGCAATTGTAGAAACGTACATATGAACAATCGGCTAGGTCTAATCTGCCGTTCAAGACAAAACTATTATTATTAGCATCTAGTCTCGTAATGATCTCTTAACGATAATTTATATTGATGAGAGAAAAAAATTCAAGCCGTAAAAAGCGTCTCTTTTAAAGCGGATCCCTAACTTTGCCTTCGTTTTTTTATAGGTGCCACGATTCCGAAGCTCGCGACACCACTTGCCGGCTCTGCTCGCAACGGCGGCGGCGGCAACGGAGGCGGTAATGGAAGTTTCACGACGACGTTTTCGATGTCTGCTTCGCCCAATATTCCAACCTCGAGCCCTATTCTGCAAGGGGATATCAGCGCAGCCCGACAGAAGCAACTGATTGCTGAACAAGCCTCATATATCCGTGAACTGGAAACGCAGTTGGCAGAATTGCGCAAGCAGAATGTCCACCTGCATCGCGAGATGCAGGAAGCCCTGGGGCTGCACCAGCTGAAAAGTCGCACCGTAGATGCACTGACAAAGGACTTAACCGGTGAGGATTAAAATATATGTCGGCTAGCCGTCCGTCGATCGCCGATGGCCGTGAAGACCGTTCTTCGCGCACTAAAGTTTACACACAAGGCAACAGACATTTATCGCTAATGCGGTATAGTTACTACAGCCGCTTACATTGATACATCAAACACCAGTGGCTGCCACCGCGTATATCGCGCCAGCCACAATGGAGCCAGCAAGGCCACGAACGTAATGCGTCCGTTAGCGAGGGTAATTTCACAAAGCACCACTCAGGTCACTTTTACAAGCAATTTGTTTAATAACGACGTTTCCGTTATTCTGATTCTGGGCTGTTCTGATTCATTCGCCCATTTGTGGCAGCAGTGTGTGCTTTGATAGACTTAACAGCTGGAGAGATTAAAATAATGAAAGTTCTGCCTTGGAGCAGCTTGAATTGTGCATAACACCTTCTATACGGGCTGTCTCATTGTTTTCAGTGAATTTGTTTTAGATGTGAAAATTCGATGGCGGTTGGAAAGAGCCATTATCTTGTGAAAACTCTTAGTTTGTTTTAATATCGGTTATGGTTAGATCGGTTGATGGTATCAAAACAACTCGGATTCACAGGCGCATTCTTCGATGAAAGCCGTTATATACTCAAAACATTCCAATGATGAATGATTGTTGTTTCTTAAATGGCCGCGGTACAAAGATAAAATTAAATCCATCTCGACTTGTTTATTTTACTGGTGTTTTTTAATATAAAAACTCGCTGAAGACACCAATACACCCTATACGTACACATGTATATATGATTTTGTGTATTAGGAATGAAAATAGTTTAACGTCATACTTGTGGGTTCATACACGGGTTTGGTGGTCGTATAATAGTATGATGAATATATGCAAGTAAAGACTTCTATACCCGTTTTTTCACATACATTTACTTGCTTCAAAGGCTATTTGTTCTTTCACAACCTAGAGAGGGCATTCGGTTGTTGGGAGATACACGTCACCATCCGCATATGGCTTAAGGTGTGCATTTTCAGGCTCCCAGTTTGCCGACTAATTGCAGAGGAGAAGCAAAAATATTGCTTGATCTCGAGTCTATTTTTGTAGAGCGCTAACCATTTAATATAAACAGTGAGGTTCCGAAAGAGATCTCGATAACGAAACTGTATACCCAGCTATTTAATTGAGATTTTTGGATCTACTACGCAGCATAAACACAAAGCTGCCAGGGTTACTGGCCTTGTAGTCATTGATCTGCGCTAGATCAGCCAGTCGTTTACCATATACTCTATATATGTATATAACTTGACCCATACAAACGATGAGTCTCTCTTCCGCATCCGCCATGCAAATCTTAAGCATTAATTGCCTAGATGTGAGCCGAGGCCCCTTTTAATTCTGCAAGCTAAGTGAAGCAACAAGCCTTGACAAGCAAATTGAAGTGGCTAACTTTTGTTACAATTGTCATTGGTAAGTAGGAAAAACCATGAACTTCGTTAGCATAGAACAAATTATTGTCGTGCAAAATTTATAAAGCTGAGCTACTTGTCGGTCTCCGTCCACTGCTTTTTATAATCTAGCTGTATTACCCGTGAAAAACAAAACAAACATCCAATATTAGCTAGCAGATCTATCATCGTATTACTGTTTTTATACTACCACTTACCGCAACTGCAAATAGATATACATACACGAATCAGCCCAGTCAATTGTATTCGGTTATGATGACGCTAGAGATTTATTACGTAAAAAGCGTTGTTGAAAACGACCGCCATGCTCGCTCCGTCGTCTGGCTGTTGTTGGTAGTAAAATGAATGATAGAATAAGTGCACTAATGATGGTACCAGTATTATTATGATATTCGATGTCAATCTAATGGCAACAGAAGCAGCAAAGCTTTGTGCCTTATGTACAAAAATGGAATCGAGGCCCGCTCATTAACTATTGCAGTCAAATACCCTGCCAGTTGCAGACACATTTCAGCGGAATGATTGCCCAAAAGTGAGTTAACATGATTAAGAGATGCTATTCTTTTTTGCGTGCAATTCGCCTAAATCATAAGTAAAACTAACAGGGTCATTTAAAACTCTGGTAGCTGCTAGCTACTTTAAGGGGTTCTGTCGGTGATGCCTTTTATTTGCGTGTGCAATTTCTTATCCTGGAGATTATTTGTGAATATTAGGCATTGCAAAGGGCGGCTTAACAGGCATACGGTTATATCACCTTAAGGTAATATGACGTGCGATTTTATTGTAGGCCTGACTTAACAATGTGATATCGGTAAAATTTTATCTCAACGATGCGTTATGCCAATCGAAAAGGCAACATTTTCAAGGACAACCATATGACACTTCGTGATAACATGCGGTACAACGAGAGAACAAGTACAATCACCAACCTTTGAAAACTCGCTAATCGAATTAAAGGAACTCTCGCTTAAAATTGATGGAAGATGGGCTAAGAATTTAAACCTTGAAGGATACAAGATATGACAGTGTCATGTTCTTTCTCTGTTAGTTGTCTGTCGAAATATCCTCGCTGCATGTTCTGGTCTGCGTCAAACCATCATGGCTACTACTGAGCTCTCTACTGCCTCATATCTCTGGCGAATACTTCGACATGGATAGCCCCTTTTGTTTGTGCGACCACTACGGCTGTGTGAGCTGCCTTGGAAACACGGATTTGGACTGCCCAGTGGGTATCACTAATAGCAGGTTAAATGACTGAAGGTTGAAGCTTGGGTGGAGCTGTGCAGTGGTTTATTAACTGCCTTTTTTGAAGAAGGTTAGACAAAGGGACTGTGCAGTGGTTTATTAACTGCCTTTTTTGAAGAAGGTTAGACAAAGGGAAAAATGATTTTGCGAATAAGATAACAAAACCTGATATAGTACCGGTCCATCATGAAAACAACTTTATTGCATGCTACGCCTGCCGCCCCGCCGTGTGCTTTGGTCGTTCTGATTTGTTCGAAGTTATACACGCAAAACCACTGCAGCGGACAAGCTGTTAGTAGTCGTAAGATGGTTTAGGGGAAACAAAAGTAAGGGAACGGCAAGAAGCATGGGAAGACACTGCCTGGCAATTTGTAATAATTGGTTTCACGCTCAAAATTTCACGTTAATAAATCAACGAGGAATTTTCAACATCACACAAGAGGAATTTACTTCTACTTCATGTTGAGTCATGCGCCAGAGCTTGTACAGATTGCCCGTAAGGACTTCATCATAACTTCATGTGGATCCTTGCTTTACCAGAAGCAGTAATTAACGACTTGACTGCCCATTGACTTATTATGTGCTTATATGTGTATAAATTTGGTTTTAAGCCTAGTCGTTGAGTTACTATTGGCACTGTACACAAATTATATTATCGAACAAAGAAACATGTAGTAGATTAGTTTGTTTCCGTGTTAGTGTTTATTAACGAGTTTGCGTATGAAAATTAAGGACGTACTTCGGTTTAGGCTTGAATAGGGGTGCAAACACCGCAAGAAGCCAGCCGTCTGAAGTAATGTCCTACGACTTAATCACTTGATGAAAAATGAAACATTTAATTTGCAGGCAATATTATTCGATCGCTAAAGGATTCAATAGCTGTAGAGACGAAGAAAGGCACATTACGAAATAGTCCACGCATAGGTGTATTCAGGCACAGGCGGTGAACAGATGTGCTCAGACTTTGGGTGAATTGTCTGTCTATATGCGTTCTAATTAGACATCAGACCTACTTCCATATTATACGGTATCATAAGCTCAGCTAGCGGCTGTCTGCTTCACACAAAGTGCAAAATCTGCAATATGTTAGCATCTTAAGTCATAGTGTCTTCTTTTAATATGTAAGTTTCTATACCGTCTCAACTGCAACAGATATGTATAGGATTGGAGGCCCGGTCCAGAATGAAATAAGTGGGCCATATACTCAGCGTCATAAGACCTAAGATGATATGAGTTGTTTTTGGTATAAATTGTTTTGTGGTAGAACTTGCAGAAAGCGCGTTGTGTTGCATGTGCTAATCCTTGTGAACAACGTAGTTATGTAATGTATTAATTTGTATGTTTGATATTTCTAATGAAAACGTCCACTGTAGCCATATTATTGAGCCAAAATACAAACAGTTAATGGGTTCTTTTTTCGATTTGTTGCGGTGCCTCCATTATGCTTTTTGATACAGGTAAATCGGATGTGGAGCAACGATTGAACGATTTCCTGTTATCAGTAGAAGCCGATTGCCTTGACGCTGTTACTGAGGAAGTTCTAGCTTTGAGGAAAAAATGCTTCCGCTCCGAGGAATACCTTGCCGAACTCAACGAAAAATACCGAGAAGCCGTGTTGCGTAATCAACAACTCGAGGAGTCCCTATCAGACCTAAAGGCGGAGATAGCTGTGAAGTTAGTATCGGATGACCAAACTAATCCGATTGGTCCAGCAACGTCTCGAGAAAATCTGAAAAGTCTTGCTAAACGGAACGCTACTCTAGAACAAAAATGTACGTTGTGAAAAATGTGATTGAGATTCAATTTGTCCGATGTAAGTTATAAATTACATGTTACGACGATGACATAAGGTGCCGCTAGATATATGTACAAAAGACAATTTCTTTTTTATTGTCACTATTAGTTTAGCTGCATTGAACTATATATATGCTCAACTTTAGGAAGAAGGAACTAGGTTGGTCATTATCAACTGAGATCTTATCTAAACCATGCTTCGAAGTTTTGGACATTCAGTCGGTACTGTGTCTGTGTGTGTGCGATGAACATTACAAAACATGGCTATATAAGTCTACTGAAGGCAATATCCTTGCTTTTTTAGGCGAATCGCTTACAGAACTGAAGGGCAAGATCGTCAAGCTTGAAGTCGAAAGACGTGATCTGAAAGCCGAAAACACGCAACTCAAAGGTAAAATGTCGGCGTTACTGCGGGACAAGAAGCAATTGAACGAGCGGCTTACTAACATCGAAACTGACGGTACGAAGAAAATCAATGAACTGAAAGAGGCCCAGGCGCGACACCTAGAAATGCTGAGCAAACTACGTCGCAGCTACACCAAGATGGACGCCAAATACAAGCACTTGCTCAAGGAGAGAACCCAGTGGCAAAGCCTGTTCCGAACGGCAAATGGTGAACTAAGTAAAAGTACAGAGTCGCTCGCCTCGATTAGTTCGGCAGCGTCAACGAGCGTAAGTCGTGCGAGCTTTTTCAGAGACAGCTCGAATCTCGAGGAATACAATATTCACCTCGAAAGCGAGCTAGTAGCAGTCAAGGAAAATCTCAAATTATCCGAAAAGGAGCGGGATAGACTCGAAAAGAAGCTCAAGGGTCTTGCTGAGCAGGTGCTTCAGGATGAAAATCTCATCACGGAACTAGATCAGAACCGCGCCGCAATCATGGAAGAGCACGATGGGCTTCGGCAGAAATGTCTATCCCTTGAAGAGGATAACACTGCTCTGCAGAGGAATGTCGAAGAACTGCGCGAACAGTTGGACACTGCCCTCTTCGAGAACAATGAGATGTCGTTAAGGGAAGAAGATGCCCGATCATCACTAGCGCAAGCGAAGGCTGGGTCAATGTTTGACCCTACACAAAATCTCCAGCTCTACCAAGAGCAAATGCTCAATGCCGAAACGATTACTGATTTCGTCAACAACGTCATGACAAAGCAGGAGCGCGCTCTCATCAGTCGGCTGGATGCAATGGACGAAAACATCACGGCACTAGCAGCGCGGTATGAACACGCCAAATCACAGCTCATTGCGAAGAACGCCGAAGTGGAACGGAAACAGCAGACGATAGCAGAACTCAGCCGACAAGTTGAAGTCCTTAAAAATAATGCAGAGTCACTCGCCAAGGATCTAGGAGTGGAGGTGCGTGATCGAAGCGCTACGGAAATGGCGAAGATGCAAGACGAGATCAGTGCAAAAGATGCCAAGCTTAAGGATTACGAAAAAATACAAAAGGTCCTAAAAAAGGCGTTAGTCGAAAATGAGAATCTTAAAGAAAGCACAGAGCTATTTAAAACGAAAACTGAAGCCGCTGAATCTCGAATCGTCGAACTGGAAAACCAGCTCAAGTGTGAACAAAATCTGGTTACGGAAAGCAATGGTATATGTAAAGTTATTTTGCTATTTTGTGAGTTACTTCATTTTAAAAATAATGTAAATGTTAGCATTAATATACCATGCATGGAGTATCTTGTTTTTTCTCGTTCCGTCCTGTTAAGCATAAGTTTCGCACATAATTATAAGGAAAGGTCCCACTTGGTCGGCCCTTACTGGAATTGTCAAACGCCTACCCGCAATTTTGATTAACAAATATTAATGTATTTTATGCTTCTTCTTTTTTAATTATAGGAAAACTAAATCAGCGTCTTCGGCAAGCTGAACGTGAGAACGAGCGGCTACAAAGTGAATTTAGCATCTTCGAAGAACAAATTGCGGAATTGGAACGGGCGAAGAATGCACTCTCAGCGGTAGAAGTAGATCGTGAAACCCTAAAACAGCAAATAGCATCGTTGGAGGGGAATCTTGCTGAAGTTACCTACGAAACTGAGCGCCTAAGACAAGAACTGAATGCTATCAGAACTGAGCAGAGAGATCAGACTGGAGAACTTCAAGAAGCTTCCAGCAAGGCTGAGGGCCTGAAGATGGCTCTGGAAGAAAAGGCTCAGCAGATTGCAACACTAATTAAAAGCCTTGAAGAAGAGCGGGTCGAGAAGAGTTCTTTGGAAAGAGTAATCTTCGAACTTCAACAACAAAACGAAAAGAATTTAGATGAAAAGGATCAAAAAATGGCGCAGCTTGCCAGCGAAATGAAGGCGGCAAACCAGGATCTTGAGCATGTTCTTCGAGAGAAGGCTCTAACGATCGAAGCACTAGAGAAGCAAATATTAGAATCTACAGAGATCAAGCAACGAGAAATAGACGAGCTGTCGAAAGTACATGAAGAGAATGTGAAGCGACAGAATGACGCCAAAACCGTGTGCTTATCGTTCGTCAATGCTCTTGAAATAAAAGTGGACCATGACCTTTCACTTTCTGAGTTTATACCTCAGATGATAGATGCGGCTTTGAAGTTAGTGCAATCGAAGACACAGCAACTCGAAGATGTTGGCATCGAATTGGAACGAACGCGAAAAGAAGCTGAACAGGGAGTATCCTTTGCGATCACAATGGAACAGCTTAAGAATCAACTTAGTCGAGATGAGGAGAGCCTTAAAAAGTAAGTGTGTTCTCTCTGATTGGCGATAGTGTACAAGCCCGGTGTCTTATTTAGCGAATAAGTGAAATTAAGATATGTAACCATTATTCGCACGCATTTACGAGTAACGATCCTGGTGAAATCATGTACCTCTGATTCCTTGAAGTCACACGAATTCAAGGAATCAGATTTCGGACTTTGTTAATGATCGAAATCGTTATCCCCTTTTTCGTATTTCTCTTTAGCCGAAAGCAAACATTTTTTAGTTTACAATTTGTTTAAAAATGCAACACAGGGGAAAAACACTTTGCAAAGAGACTCTAACTAGGAAATTTTCGCCAGAAGGGGCCACTGGATAATTATCAGAAAAGTATCAGGAAAAAAGAAAAAAAGAAAAAAAAATTAATAAAATATTGTTACGTCATCATACTCATTTATAGCTATGAGGAGGCTCTGGCAACCCAGTCTGCGTCGATCGAACGGCTGAAGGTAGAACGGGCTGATCTTGAAAGAAACATGATAGAGCTGCATAAAAGCGACGACCAACAAATTAAGAGGTTGAAAGAAGACGTACGTCAACTGGAAGCGCAGCTCGAAAAAGCTAGTCATGCTAGCCAGGAGGTTTCTGCATTACAACGTCGCTGTCTTGAACTTGAAGCCCAACATGAAGTAAATATTGCTGAAAAGAATGAAACCATCAGTAATCTGGAGAGTCGGCTTGAAGACAAGATCACAGAGTTCGATGAACTTAATCAAAAAGTTGAAAACTTTACAGTACTGGAGGAGCATTTAAATTCAATGACAATCCAAGTTAGCTTATGTCATACGAAGATTGAAGAGCTTGAAAAAGACATTGAAGATAAGGAACAGAAACTCATCGGGAAAAACCAAATTATTTATCAGCTGGAAAACGAACTTAGTGAAAAAACAGCCACGTTCGACGAGATGGAGAAAATATTCTCTCTGAAGGGTGAAGAATACAAAAAGGTCCGCGAAATGCTTGATACGAGCGAGGAGAGTATCAAGCAGCTTAACTATCAGTTGTCCCTTACCGACTCCACAGTAAAGAAACTTTCTAGTACGTTGCTACCTAACGCAACTCGAGATTCTGCTGAGATGTGGGTAGCCCTTTCCAAAAGGGTCGACGAAGTCTTTAAGGAATTGCGAGATGCCCAAGAAAAGACGAAATCACTTGAGAAACAGCTGGAACACAGTGACATAGAACGAAATGCAGTAATCGATCAGATGAATGATTTACAACGCGTCCTCGAGACGCGTCAGAATCAATTGGAAAATGCGACATTATTCGGTAGAAACTTGCAGATTCTAACCGAAAAGCTCACATCTGATCTCGATGCAAAACAAAGTGCATATACGGATGCAATGGAAGAGCTTCAGCAGTTGAAGGCAGATACTGAACGAATGACGCTCGACTTGACGGCCAAGCAAAACGAACTGGATGACAACGCGGTCTACATCACACGTCTCCGAAACCTGCTCACGGAATCTGAAAGTGTAATACGCGGCCTTTCCGAGCAACATAACGATAAGGTTATTAATTTAGTGGACAAAATACAAAGTATTAATCGTGAACGAGAGGCGTTACAGGCATGTCTTGGTAAGAAGTTGAAGGAAACTGTTAGCGCACAAAGCGGCTCTGCAGCTCAAGCAGCGCTAAAAGGAGAAATAGCTCGACTTGGTGCTGAAAACGAAGAACTACTGGCAGAGAAGAAATCCTGGAAAGAGCTGAGACTTCAATTAGAAAGCCGTACCACACAAGCTGAGGCAAACTATGCTGATAAGTGTCAAGAGCTTGAGGAGTTGACAAAGGTTCTAGCCATGAAGCAAACTGATATGGCGCGATTTGAGGATAAGCTCCATGCGCTCAAAAATAAATATGGCGATAGGGTCCAGTCGCTCCAACAGAACGTATCAATTTTACAAAGTGAGAGGGCGAAAGTAGCCGAACAGATAAACGATATCCAACAGGAGCTAAAGGCCGCAGCCGAAGCCAAAGGGGAACTCGAGACAAGCTTGCAAAATAAATGCGAATCCCTCGAAGTGCTCCGAAGCGAAATGGATCTACTCGAAGGAAAGTTGCAGGAGATGTGCTCACAGTACGAGGAATGCCAAAAAAAACTGGACGATCGTGAGGCCGAAGTCGCCCGCTTGGTTGATGAGATCGGCAATGTAAAGATTGTTCTGTCGGAACGAACCGAAGATGTAAGCTCGTATCATGACCACATCAAGGCACTGGCAGAGGAGAAGATCCGTCTCGAAGGCGAAGCCGCACACCTCAAGCAGAAAATAAACGACAACAGTGAAGAGTACCAGAGGGAAGCCCTGGAAATGCAACAAGAACTCTCCATTATGACGGAACGTTACAATATAAAGTGTCACGAATGTGAAAGTTTATCAAAGGATGTTGCAACTAAGGCAGCCGACGTGGATGTTCTCACTGTGAAACTTCTTTCTATGGAATCCAATCTCTACAAAGCCACCACCAGAATCGAGGATTTGGAAAAGATGCTGGCGCAAGAAAAATATGTAGCCAAACAACTTTCAGAAGATACCCATCGGAAAGACGAAGCCTTTGCGACTACTAATCAGCCTGAGGGGGAGATTAGCATTACTAAATCTGGATATCTGAAAGTTCAACAAGAGCTGAAATACGTGAAATCCCAGCTAGATGACACACTTAGAAAAAAATGTGAAACTGAGTTAAAGCTGAAAGCGGCTGAATATAAAGCAAACGAACTCAATGGCAAGTTAAATAAAATGGAAAGTAAAGTCGAGCTGGAATCAAAACAACTTTCTTCATTGGCAGACGGAGCGGCCTCATATCAAACAGAGCTACAGATAGAGTTAGATACTGCCCGTGGGTTACTTCTTAATTCAGAAAGGGAAGCATTGGCTTTAAAATTAAAATACGAAGAGCAGTTAAACTCACTCCGTGATGAACTCTCTAGCCGAATTGCAAAAAAAGACTCTCAACGAATCCTGCAGGAAGAAGCTGCGACAATAAAGGATTCGACGGCGTGCCGAGAACGTCTGACGTCGCAACAATTCGAAGGAAGCATCAATTTACCGGAAAATATTCGCGATGAGCTCAGCTCGGAAAAAAGCCTGGGCGATTGCCTTCGCACAGAAAAGGTTGCGCTTGAGGAAGAACTAACGAAGGTTCAGGTTTCCCTCAAAGAATCACAAAACAAACTACTCCAGGCACGACATATCATCGAAGATTTGGAAACTGCTAAATCGAAAGTTGAAACTCAACTTGAAGAAAGTCTAGCCGCCGTTGCCACAGCCCATAAGGACCAAAAGAAACTCGACGAGAAGCTAACAGAATCACGTCGCAGTACTGCATTTCTTGAGGAACATTTAGCGAATCTACGTGAGAAGACCGTTACATTGAAGGACTCGATCGGCGCACTAACCACCGAAAAAGCAACACTCGAACAAAAGTACGCACAACTGAACGAGCGCGACGCGAAACATAGACAAAGTATTCGCGAGCTCCAACACCGGTTGGACTCTATGAAACAGGTCAGTCTCGACCGAGCTGGGCAGCTGGAAGCGGCCAACAGAGAGGTCAATCTTCTACATGAGTACCGCCGTGTTCTTGAGCAGGTTCAGGAGACACTTGAATTGAAGACACCCGAGAGAATAGTTCCTCTGGTGCGGCAGCATAAATCAACTATAGCGCAACTGGGTTCGGGAATGCTGATGATCAGGAGGGAGCTGAACGGTCAACAGCGGGAGCTAAGCATCCTTCGACAACTAGTCACTTCCCAGCGGGCCGAGCTTTCCGTACTTGTGACCGACACCAGCCACCAGCTGGAACAAGTTGTCGCCACGGCTGAAAAGGTATCGACGCAACAGCAGCAGCAACAACCACGGGAACATCTCAGCTTCCAGAAAACAAGCCGCCCTCTTGTGGATCGTTGCCTCGAGGTACTGCGTGAGCACAACATGCGTTCGCTGGCCAAAACATTAGTGCCGACGGCGTCACCTGTGGCGCATGGAACGGCGCTAGCGACGACGGTGACGGCTTCCGGTGAGAGTGGCGCAGGTGGTGAAGTTCGGTCAATGCACAATCTGTTTACACTTCCACCGAACGATTTCGACATGCACTTCCAGACCTTCAACGGTCCCACAGCCCAGTTCGTGGCCGAACAGCAAGCATCCTCGGCAGCCAGATTAAAGCTGATGAAGCTCGCTGCGGTCATGGACCACGACGACACCGCACCGAGTCACGCTACTTTAAACACTAGCAATAATCGCACACCCGGAGATCAAGGCCTAGGCCGCCAGCAACAACATAATGACGTTGAAAACGGTACGACCTTGCAATAACCACTATACGTATTGATTAGAAGTCCACAGGTTTAACAGCAAAAACGGATACTATTGGGTACAAAACAATCCGCTGCTAGATGCTACGAGTACTTTCCATGCTCTATACATCTTTCTATTTTAATAACGATCTAATAACGTAATGACTAGTCCAATTGTGAACACAAATGTGGTATGCACCTAGCTTTTATTTCTGTTTTGACAATAAGGTCAAACTAGACAAATAATGCAGATGTAATAAGTCAATACGATGCGCGGCATGAACCTATTTCGGATGATGTGTACGAGGACCGAACTGCATGTGACTTGCGTTATTCGCCTCGCATTTTACCTCGCACAGGTTGCGTACTTTTGCTATTTTCCCGATGACGCTTGTCTATATGCAGTGTTCACTGACAGTTTCGGTAATATGCTAGTCTTTGTGTCAACTCTAGTAACAGTTCTGTAACATCGTATTGTCCCTTCTGTCCTATTCATTAAGCAGCTCTCTTTTCTTGAATATCAAGAGCATACGAAAAAAACGAGCGTCTCTTCTCCGTTTTTTTCACTCGATAGGTATTCGTATTTGGCCACGTTTACAATGTTATATACTGCTAGTAAGGTCCGTTTCTGCCTTGAGTCATGCCTTTCGTTCTGACGTAATTATATTGGTCGATTGAGAAATGCAATGTGTTCTATCATAGCTCAAAGATGTAAGCATTTGTTTCAGGTGACAACGCTACAGGAACAAATCCCTCGAGTCTGATTCGCATTGACCCATTCGAAACGATTAAACAGCAAAAAATCCTAATTCATGAACTGATGGCAAAGTTGGAGAGAACCAAAAAAGTGTTAGACGGGGAGATGATTCGCCGTAAGGAACTCGACGAACGGTTTCGGCAGTGGTCGAGCGATAAACGCTTACACAATGCTGAAGTGTTTTTTAATGTTGCTCAGGTGAGAGAAGTGTAAAGGTGCAAGAAAGTTACTGCATGTTATTAACAAATTAATATCGGCCAAAGGAGGTTAAAGCTATTACGTATCGTTTGGTACGGCGGTAGTGCCCTCTGACTAACCTCATTGTTACATGCTTTAAAAAATGTTGACGCTGTGCACATAGGGAAGCTACAGGTAGCACATTACCAATACGCAGTTCACTTATACTTTGTGACCCTGCAGCGTGCTCCGTACTGAGGCAATAAAACGACAGTTTTTGCGCCTATTTGCTTTTAATGTTATTACTATAACTCTGACCTCCTGCCGTGTCGTAATAATGAACGTCAGTGCTAATCAATAGTAAGTCGCAAAAAAATGGCAGTATAATCATCAGGTTCTGCGGAAAGTAACAACGATGGAAATAATTGGCAAAAATCATATATTATGAATAAATTTTAGGCCAATTCGACGTACAAATATCTATTGAATTGGCTTAACCTTAACCCAACTTGACAAAAGTCGAGCTAAACAGCACACCTAGATAATAGTTCGTTTATTAGGATAGCCATGTATGCCCTTATCATTAACCCTCGTGCCTCTGAAGTTCATTGTAATATTGTTTCGCGCTGTGTGTTTAGAAGCTTTTGCGGAATTATTTCGTGTCTTTGCTTTTTATCGTAAATATTTCCAAATTTTTGATCTATAAGATCTGCGAACGCTACGTAGTACAAGTCATTAACACTTTCACAACACCAGTTGACAGAGGAATTTGAAGGAAAACAGTCGAAAAAGATGATCATTATTTCTTTTCTGCATCGAAAACTTAGTCCTGTGTACATCTGTTTTGTTGTCGTTCCTGATATTTAGGACTTTACTTTCTGTTCTTTTTCTCTGAATTTTTGTTGCTGTGTCGTGGTGTATCTGCTTCATTTCCTGGCATCCATCGGTCCTATGCCACGTGATTGTTAATAGAAGCGTCCGGATGCGCCAAAGTAGTTTGGGCAGTCTCCCTGATCCATCAGTCCCGTTGCATCCATCGCCAGATACGTGTGTTAGATTGCTTGTAAGGCAAATTCACCCTATAGCCGTCAGCTTGCCTCGTTTCTACGCAGCCGTGCCCTAATCATCAATTAAACAATTGACAGCCAACTGAGATAACTTCATTTCGTATATAAGTTTTCGTTCAGTTATCCAGTTTAGAGGTAAGTACCTAGGAGATAACCTTACGCCACAAGAAATAATTATTGCGAGATGCTTGCTCTACGCAAACTGCAGAGTCGAATAACGAACCGCACTTAGACATGCTTCTCGGTTCGGTGGTGTCTACTTATGTGCTGCTGATATAGGTCTTGGTGAACGTACATAATTGTTAGGCTGCCTATCGTCCGAAAGGGTCGCGGTGTTCGAAAAAAAACTTTGTTCTTGTTCCATTTGTCGAAGGAAGAGGTTCTCCTTGTTAATTGTGGTGGTGCTATTTTTAATATCTCGCGGGTAACGAGTTGTTACCAGTTATGATGCGATATTAATTTCATGTAGTGTTTTGCTTTATTTTACCGCTTTCTCACACTACCCAGCCAACTCTACAATCAATTGATTTTTGTGTGTGCTGTTCATGGAAAAAAACCCTTCGTTTTTCAAACAAAAGAAACCTAATTTACTTTAGTCTAAAGTGTCATAATTTATATCTACCTAGTTTTAGTAAGTACGCTAAACTGTCACTAAACCACAAGATTTAGCATGTTTACAGTATTTGCGTGAGAATCGGTTACGTTTAATACAATACGACTTAAGCAGAAAAAACCAACATAAGGGTAACATTTCCCACCGAAAGGGAGAGCCAACAACCATATACACAATCGCTCTAATTCTGCCATGTTAAATCGTATGTTATTCGGTCAGTAGCGATAGTTTGTCGACTGCTAGGATAAATAATCGTTGCCTGTTTTGTTTTGTTTTGTTTGAAATGGGCGTATCTTCACTTAGCAGATAAATAGCAGCGGCAGTTCGATCCAGCGTGAGGATACCTTCGACTGCGCGCCCTTACTAAAATCGCAAGGCGCGCTTATTCCGGAAACATCCTTAAACGTGACTCGACAGTTTCCTAGCTACGTGGACAATTTTATTCGATGGCTCATCACGACAGCGCCACCTAGGTAGTATAAATGTGTGGTCGGTACTTGCTACAACTTCTCATCCACAATATGTGTATTTGGCGGGATTTAAAGAAGAAGAACCTTTTTGCTTTCTTTTAACGAGCCTTATCGGTCCGAGCTACCGTGCACGTTATACGCATGTTTTTCACTATTATCATTATTTTTTATTTTTACATTTTCGGTTTTTATATGAAGATATAACAAGTAATGTACGGCTAATGTATATGCTAATTTCAGCATTATCTCAATGTCTGTACGCATACATCTTGGTTGCTAACGAGCTTCTCATTATACAAGTTATGCTATTATTAGCATTATATCTTATCACCGAATTATTTTAGGGATGCGGCGACCAGCCTCATCGATAGACTCAGGATAGATCATCGATAGATAGATCAAGCTAGTGAAGGGCTACTACGAAATTTTCGGCAAGACGAAGCTTTTTGTAAGATATTGATTTGCAAAACAGTGTGCGCCCATATTTACATTAAATCGGTATTTGGTTGTATACTTGAACAACGTTTCACATATCGTAATACGATTATGGTAAATCTATCTAAAAGTTGAACGCACAGGATTTCTCCTAAAGAACTCTGCTGCTATACGTATGGCTAACACCATTCTGCACGTGTCGACCGTGCCTTAAAGATCCGAGATGCACCCAGTTGGCCTTCAACGGCGGCAACAACGACCACAACAGCAACAGCAGCAGCACAAGAGCGTAACAAACGATGGATTGGTGACTCTTGCCTCCGATGAACGCTCATTGGCCCTTTGTGTTTCTTCCACAACTGCTTCGACGCTGCTTCCTTCTACAACCCAATTCTATGAATCAACTTCGTGTTCAATTTCCGACACTTTCTAGTTCCTGCTATAATATTCTGTCATTGGTGTGCACAGGTTGAACTCTTTACATGACCATTTTCCTATGATTTCACTTCAGAACAGATCTAGCGGATGCTAACATTCGTATGAAAACAGCGTGGTTATAATTTTGACAGGGGTACGAAGCAATATAAGGGTCTGATTGAAATTTTTCAATTGTCTTTTAGTGTCTCGCTGTAATATGACTGACAAAAACTGTATGAAGAAGATAATGTTTGTGGAAGTTCTAATTTTATGTATTACAATGTTTGCTGAAGACTAATAGGTGGAATGAACCAACCTTAAAAAAAGCTCATTAATCTAATTCAGGGTAAGTTAGGTTCATGAGTAAAACTAGCCCAAGTTTTATAGCTAATCAGACAAGATTAAGGATGCCGGGATTACGTTACTGATTATCTTGTTGTCAATTATGCTATTGAATTACTGCTTTCAGGTTAGACGGTCAGATGTCGAGGCAAAGCCCATGTAAAAATGCCTTCTTCACTCGTGATGGCTGATGTTGCGCTAAGCCACTATGAAGCACTGATCGAGAACCAGCCATCAATTTCACACGATTTTGGAGTACAAGGTCCAATGTCTATTTGTCTACGAAAACCACGTGTGCTGTCGCTACGAATCCATTTGGAATTCAATATTCTATTTAAGCCTATTCATAAAAACTTCAAGAGAATACAGCCAGTCCGTCGTAAATTGTATTTAAGATTGAGTTGGAGGAAGATGGCATTCTTTTTTTTTCGGTAATAGAAAAATTAGCAGATGAGTAGTGCGTTTCATGACTACAATTTATTAACTGCAACTCTGCAAGTACAGACAGGTAAATAAAACTAATCCGGCGCTTATTTCCGATAGAATTGCTAGGTAAGCATTTTCTTATAAAAACACCAATTAAAAACGTTTTATGGAACATAGACACAAAATATGGCTGAATTTTTCCTGACCATGCTGCTTGTAAAAATTTCATGATATGTATTTATTTTCTTTAATATCATTCTCAAGGGAATCATTTAAAAAGCCTATTTCCATCTTTTATGAGGTTCCTCGTGACTCCGGTTTGACCAATTTTTGCGCTTATTCTATTGATGCTTTAGCCAAACACTACCTTAATTTTAGTTCTACTTGTAGTTGTTCACAGATAGGCATTACATGCTTGCTTTCGGCAGATCATAAATCAACTTTGCTTTAAGTAAAAAAAAAAAAAAAGTACTACGCTGAGATCACATTACAACTAATTTAATCGCCTTACTTTCATATTTATCGACTATTGTGGGGATAAAGCGTCCCAAAAATAATCGGTTTCAGCTAATAGTAGACGTATTAAAATTAGCTCACTAATACACAATACGGTGATTTACTAGTAAGATAAATGTATACATTTCCGTTTTTGTATGGTTAAAATGTTATTAAATCTCGTGTTTTTATCGTTTCCCGAAAAATCCGGTAGTGTATACTTTATAAAAGTATATACTACCGGATAAAAAAACCTATTTTCTGAAGTCCTCTTTTCTGCTTTCTAAGATGTATTACGTTTTTACTAAAACCTGCACTATTTACAGGTGGCTCGTTCTATCTGATATCGAATATCTACTGTACAGGAAACAATGTATTTATCATAATTACTTTTTCAATTAAAATATCTATACACGAGTAAATAAAAGAAAGAGGAATATTAGGAAACTACACTGTACCGACGAATCTTCGACACGTATATTACCAATTCTAACGCCCCGTTGTAGCTGAATGTGGTAACTACCTTGTTTCAGTGACCCCGTCTTCCTGCTGTAATTGCTCCGGTACCTTCACAGCAACTTACCCAATCCAATCTGTTACCTACTTTGCTGCGCTTCATTGGAATGTTACACCCATTTCGTTGCTTTAATTAAATTTAGCGCGTTCTGCTATATGAATTGCATCGTACTCTCACTATAATTAATGCCACGGCAAACGATGTCCACTGTTACCTGTCTGCCTCATTTATGACCCGTACATCGAGTTCTGATAAGCAGTTCTTTCGCCACTTGACAAATGATTTTCGGGATTGCTCGTAGATCCAACCAATCGCTGAGACTTCAGTTAACCCCAAGTCGCGAAGAAACTTATTTAACCAACCACGTTGGTTGAGTAGGTTTAAATAGGTTACATAGTGGACTCGAAAACAGACGAAAATCTACCTGGACATTACAAGGGGGCAATGAGATAAACACCAGATATTTAGTTTAGTAACATATAAACATATCGTTCATAAGTTAAAACATCGCCTTTCGTTTTCCTTGTTAATATTGTTTGCGACTTGTGTTTTTATATGTACGTATATATATACATACATATACGTATATAACTACAGTACACGTAACTGTTAATTGAACTGGCTACATCAAATAGGTTTACAGAATAACAAATATTACCTACAATATGCACGCGATACGTAATCATTGCGTTGTTCATTGTTCTATGGTTTCACGTTTTGTGTATTTTTTTACTTCGCACAACGTACTTGTTTAATGCGTAGAAATTAAGTGGCTGCAATTGAATGTTTATTATTGGCGTTAGAGAGGTATACGTAGTGAAAGCACATGACGTTTACCTATCTACAAAAGGAAGAATATAACTTGTAGTAAATTCTACATTTTTGTGGTCCTGTCTCCTACAGAATCTGCCAGTAGAACAACCTAACAAAATTGGACGTGAAGCTATAAATGATGCCCTAGTATGTAGCCCTATATTAATATATGTATATAACGAAGTTCAAAACTGACAAAAAATTAACGAAAACAGTTCCAAAGATCAATAAAAGTATTTTCGTATAATGTTATAGCATCAAGAATTGGCGTTGTTCAATAATTTCTTTCTCTACTCATCGCTGCATCGTGTCTAGCGTTCGCAGTCACGACGCATGTTCCGTGTCGTGTGTTCTGAATACATTGCGTTAAGAGATTAATAAACGTTCCAATATCCAATAATGGGACAAGTAGCCAGAAACTTTAATAAACGTTGCAGTTCACTTTGCCAGTACGATAATTCTGGTGCATTAGCCTCTCTATTTTTATTACAATTATTGGGTGCGACGACAATTACGGTGTTCAATTGTATTTTAGGACTTTTCAACACTACATTTTAAATTACGCAACAGGCCAAGACATGTGTAGCTTGAAAATCACGTCAAGGAAACGAATATTTCTTGCTTGTATTAAGAGACTAGCCAATGTGTAGCCTATGAGAGCTCAATAAAGTTCTACAAATTTACAACGATCTAGATTTCTAATTATTTCTTATAGTTTGTTCGATGCTCTACCCAGCATATAAATTTCTATACGGGTGGAAACTTTCTATTATAAGTAGTTTCTGCTAGAAAGTCCCCTTATTTTTTCTAGAATAGTAGCTGAACACAGCTGAACGACGAGCAAGAACGCGTACGTATCGTATTTACCGGTGCTAGTTAAATCTTTACGCGTATGCGAGTTTTTTGTGTAACAAACCAAATCACAGTTGTGCTCTGATTTGAGTCAAATGTTAATCAATTAAAACAATTCAGGCAAAGAAAAAGTACATCATTATAACATTGATGTCCCTGTTACTTTAGCATGGACTCATAGTTATCATTAAATAAAACAATTATTTTGCTTATCCGTTTAGCGGTAAAAAATATTTTTTCGTGAAGATATGATATGTAATACAACGTTTTTTCATGCTTCACTGCATATTAAATCAATATAGTTCATTAGATAGTAAAACTTATCCACGCGAAATATTGACAAGCACGTAACTGCAGCATTTAGAAAGCTTCACCGATCGAACGTCCTCTAAACGATTCGCAAATAAAATTCACAATTAAAGTGTGCATTTAAAAAGTATTTATGAAGCCAGTAATTTTCATATATATATATATATATATACAGATATATGTATCAGCATCTCTGCACTTCTAAGGTTTCTCACGCACGGACCCTAAATGCCCACCACAAGAGCGCATATAGAGCAATATCAACAAAACGAACCCGACAGTGCATGCCGAAACTGATTAAGGTTATCATGGGGACGAACAAATCGAGAAGTAATTTGTAAGTTTACTCACAGATGTAGGTAGAAGACTAATGCAGATTTAATTTCCTGAATCTGCAGCTGAACTACTATGTCCTTTAATACTAGAAAGCCATGTTCCCTCGCCAGCTACTTGATGAACTATTTGAAACTCCTAATACAGCAGTTTGTAGATCATTTCGGCTGCATCTAAGGGTAATCAGAATACAAAGTTCGCTAATATACCGAACCAATCACGAATTTATAGACGGCTTCTGGATGCATTAAACCAACATAACTACTGAGCGATACTGGTCAGTTTAGCATTAGATAGATATTCAGATAATATAAATTATGACGGCATTCAAAAACTAACTGATGGATCAAACAAACAACGCCTATACATGGGGGTCCCACGGATGTTTAGTCCAGGAAACGTATAATTACATAAGATAATCGTTGAAATGATTGGTACTTCAAGAAAGGAAATTTTTCAATTTAAGTAAGGAAACAACTACTAACCGTAACCGCAGTATAGCTGCTCAAAGCATTATTTTTAATAAATTACTGCTGTTCACCTAAATATTGTCAAGGATAATGCAGTAAATAAAGAGATGTGGCTCGCTACATTGTTCTGATGAAATTTGACTTTGCTAACTTCGAGATTACGCGAGTTGAGGCTTGAAGTATATTAGACGAATCAACTATTGAATTTAAATATTATATTTTGTATATGAAAACAAAAAACGCGCTATCTGCTACGCCAAAGCAAATCACGACGGAAACTGATTTCAGAATTCTACACATGAAATTTGCATACCATCGTTAATATTATTAATACTTAAAAAAAGCCTTCTGCCTATTTGGCAGCTTTATATATACAGAACACCGTATATCGAAGCATATATGGCTATCTTATGCACAAAGTAAGAACAACTCCGTAATGATATACTTGCCAACAAATCAAGCTTGGCAATAGAATTTTCTAAACAAACCATTTGAATACAGATTTATAGAACGCGGATTAAGTTGGCTTGAGAATTTTTAGAGCGAAACGTAATACAATATTAAAGCAAAAAAATATTTAAACTTTATTCATACAGGTACCTGTCATTGGCGACACATACACTACTGTACACGTAAGTTTAGTATGTTGCGAAAAAAAAAACTGTATATACGTGTATAATTCTTCTCGGATCGTGCCGTATTTTTGTGTTGCATTGTATTGTTCCTTAGGAATGCTCAAGTAAAAAGAAAGTCATGTTTTTGATGTGCCGAAAAATGCTGCTTGTTTTGACTAAATCTTGCCAGCGACCGCTGCCAGATTTTTTTTATCTTACCCCAACGCAGCGTTTAAAAGTCAAATACCCAAAAACTCCACCTATAGACGCATAAGTTACGAATATATTCTTTATACTTTATACAACGACGTTCATAGCACCAGCTCAGACTAAGTTGCATGTCCTTTATAGCCAATATCCAAACTTTTACTTTGTCAGTTACTAGTTAGTTCATACACCTTTCGTGATGAGGACGATATATAAAAGCATGTTACTGATTATATATATAGACGTCAATAAATATGCCTGCCCTTATCGAAAAAGTAGAAACTTTATGTGAATTAGTCTCAAAGTAAATCTATACAAACGCCAGCCCCCATTAAGAAATATTGAAGCCCCTCGAATACAAGAACCCGCATACAAAAACTCATGTCCACATCTGCATAACGCCTATAATTGCGGATTGCTCAGCCTACATCCCACAAACGCACTTACAAAGAAAGTATGCGAAACATATAGCAGAAACTATTCTTTGGCGGTATCGCACCCCATTAGCACTTCCGAACTCCAGTTGAAAGGCTATTCGCCTGACATGAAAATATATGGATAATTGATACGCACTCATTCTTGGTATAACACGTACTGTCTGAGATGCCATCAGAAAACCTCACTACGGTACGAAAACAGCACTTTTCTTTCAATACATGTTTTCACCTACTATTGTTTTCGGTGTTTTTAATTATATTAAACTAAGATCACCTACTGCATTATTTCTTAAGCTCGATATTAATTATATATACGCTTATTAAGGCATCTATAGAAGCTTGCTCGTTGTCACTGCTCAGTAATCATCCGTCAATGCTAATCAAGCCAAAGTTTTCCAATCTCCTCAGGAAGATGTATAGTTTTTTCCTGAATAATTTTAAGAAGGTTTTTAGTAATATCGTCAGTCGTACTTGTAGCGTCCACCAAAACCCATGTATCGTCCACCAGTTCGAGGTATCTGCAGGAAAACAGAGTTTATTAGGATCAGCATCAGTAGATAAACCAGATTATACGATACTAAGCTTCTATACAAAAAAAACACGAAGTTTCATATCAAAATACTGACTATAAAAGTTGAGTTATATAGAGGTTATGGTTTAGGATCTTGAGTTCCACCATTCGTTTATGCTTGTCAACCTGACGTTACCGCTTCTATAATGCAGAACTTCAGAAACTGAGAAAATATGCGACTTCACACATGAGAATATGCACCGTAACCTAGGACAAAGTATTCTTTTTGAAATAATGATAATATCTTACCTTTCAGCAACAACCGCCTGGAAATTTTCGTATTCATAACGCTCAGTTCCATAACCTCCACGGGTTTTTAACACTTCTTGGCTCGCATGAAGGAAACACACGAGATCAGGTTTCGGTAGTCCAACATCTGGCTGGCGACACCACTCGATCGACAAACCCGGTTTAGCTGACGAAAAAGCTACTCCGGAGAACGCGTAACGATCAATTACCAATGTAATACCTATATGCACAAAAAGTAGAGACAAGAAACATTATCAACACTCATATAGTTGTAATTGATCATCTTTTGCGAGTTTTTATACAGGTGAAATAGAAGTAACGTGATTATTTTCATAGGTTTACTTCTCATGCCGCATTTGTTCGCTTTTCGAGTTATTGTTCTTAAGACATACTCAAATACGTGTATGCATACGTTTTTCACGACAATCACCATACCTGTACTTTCAAGCCAAAAGTAGCTTTATTAGGCAAAGAAAAGGTAATATATTTAACACAATTGTCTTTTTCCTCGGAGAATATGATAAGATCAGCAATGCGTTCGGGTTATCGTTTGTTATAATGATACTTGTTATTGCATTACGTATTATACATCAAAAAAGTTACCGTTATCAGAAACTACAAATACCGAACAACGACTGTATAAAATCATCCTACAATAAAATTGAAGCATAATTTTTACATCCCATAGAATCTCCTATTTTCAAAGTTTCGCTGAGGCTTAATAATTTATAATTAATCCAAAATAATGTCCGTAATTTCTTGACGAGACCTGAGAAATTTGCAGAGCGTGGTCTCTTATATATGATATGTACACATGCTTCAATGATTTTTCACTTATTGTAAATGTACTTCGCAGTCAATTAGATATGGGTAATTATAATATATTGCATTGTACCTTGTGAACCAGTATTTTTGGCCGTTCAGTTCCACGCTCGTTGATATTTTTCTATTGAAAATTTCTACTGAAGAGGCAAAGAAAAGGTTACCTTTATACGAACCTTTTTTCAGTTTGTCCAACATTTCTGCACGTTTTTCCCATCGATTAGCTGAAAAAAGCAGATGTATCGAGCGATCATCCATATCTGTTGCGTTCAGTAAATAATCCCCAATTACCTGCAACACCACCCAGGGTACATAGTATAATTGATTTACGGTGTTATTACAATAAGTGGACATTGCTTTTGATTGTAACCCCCAGTTGGTATTACTCGTAACATACGTTGGCATATGCTGAAGATAATAAATGCACTATTGAAAGATTTCCTTCGACAACCTATTCAAATTCTGAGTAGAAATTGCTATTAAAACTAACCTTGCCTAATGGCGTAGTTCGGTCGGGGAACCTCCAAGCTTCAGCTCGTTTTCCCATTTTGTTTAATTTTTCAACAACCTGAAAGCACTGAGTAGATTTGCCCACGCGATCGAGGCCCTCGAGTACAATAAGGGCACCACGGGATGATACGCCATTTGAACACATCGTTCGCCACGCACCAAAAAGATTAAGCAGATGTAACTGTAGCTGTCAAAAATAAATTCGATAAACTAGGAAATTTACGTATAGAAGACCTAAAATCTATCCACAGTGATCTGTCCGCTAAGGGGGAAAATCTTATCTGAACAACGTTGAAGCAATCGATTAAAAAGTGGATCTTTTTCGTGAGGCTACAAGTCCAGAAGCCACTTACTCTTTGCGACTCTCTCACCGGCATTGATCACCTCTTCTAACTAATGCGTGGAAGTTTTTTTCCTTACTGTATTAAAACATTTAACATCTTCTTTCCTACGAAAAAGTTTTATTTTGATTTTATTGACAAAACATGCCTGCTTTAACAAAAATAATATGAATAAAACAGGTCAACAAGTTTTTCGAGATTTAAAGCGAAAGTCTTCTGAAAAGTTTAAATCTCTATAAATCGAGCGATTGAGCTTTATTTATGTGCAATTTTACAAAAAAAAAAGTGCTCCCAATAAACACATGATTCAGTCTGCTATACTGTCGCCTGAAATAGCAACCAAGGAGCATCTCTCTCAAATCTAAAAACATAAGTGAATTGGCTAAGACCATCGTTTTCGAATTGTTGATTGCGACGTCTAATAAAATCTTTGAACTGTATGAGTTTGTATGAGGAATTTTACTAATGGTGGGTTAGTCTAAGTAAAAAAAAATTGGCCCTAAACCTTCATATAGTAGTCTTGGGTCGAGTACACACACCCGTGACATTCCACAGCTTGTACGGATCACTTCAGTTCTATGCTTAGTGAAATGTTATACACATATCTGGGCTACAGTGATGATTTCAGTTGTCGAACACGCTGAATGAGCATGTACTCCTTGTTTTTTTTTTTGTTTGAGCAGGTCAAAGGGCTTCTACACTCACCTGTTTACCCTAGCTACGATATTGTGATCGTCTGCTAGCAAAGAGATGGCGGATCGCGAGGTCGACATTTCGCGCGCCAACAGTGACTGCTTTGCCAGAACTATAATTGCAGCGGCTGCTCTCGAACCGCGCACTGGTAAAACTTCCAGGCACTGTTTTTACAACGCCTCGCTGCCACCTTCTTCGTTTGGAATAAATAAACAAACAAAAATCATATCACCAATATTACGGTTAGCCATAATTCAAAGAAACAATTACACATATTCGACACCCTACTATCAATAGTACTTACAGATTGTTCCGTAAGCTTATACTTCCATAAAACAGCTATCACGGTTGCTGCATCGGGACCATTTCTTTAGGGTTGTCAATTATAATAACTGTTCGGGGCATCTTGCTTGTGATTGTACAATATTGTTGTGATAAAATGTTTATCTGATAATAAACGGAAATATATAGTTGTAATTGCTACGAATATCAATTTTCTGTTTACATACATATAATACGAATTTGTCTAGACTATCGAAAACGTCCTACAACTTGTAAATAAATAGGTGAAACAGTTAGATAAGGTTCTACATCGTAAAAAGAAGAAGCACAATTGTATTAAAAAGCGTATGCCTACCAGTGACAGAAATCACTTCAAGTCCTTGTCCCACAATCAATACGTAGCGATTTTCAGCGAAGAGGGTGAAACCAGCCACATCTGCGACAGCCGTCATTTTCGTCCATTGTGGCTCCAAGCTCTTACCGTCTAGAAGTTTCCATAGTGTAACACGCTGATCGATGGATGTTGACAGCAGGTGGTAATCACCTACCCACAGCACACCGGTTATCTAAATAGTACATGTTCGAAGAGCAATTAGTCATGACAATTCGAAGAATTAAGTGGTACTTACTTCGCCATGTAGATTAGACTGGCACTTTGTACAGATCTTCCTTAGAAGGCTTATATGCCATCAAAACTTTAATCTTCAATAGGATTATAGCCTGTAGCGAGGCGATTTAAGCATCGTTTTAAAAATAGCACGTTTAAAGAAAAGAGTGACACTTGTTAAGAATTTAATTAAAAAGTATTTGTTGTTTATCTGCGATTATTTCGCGCAATACACAAGATTTTAATAGATGATATCACGTACTTAATGCTTAAAATGTGTTGGAATCAGCTATGGATCAGCAATTTTCTGTCTTGCACACACTTCGTAGCGATATTTTTTTAAAACAAAAATAGTAATTAGAAAAACTTTGTCGAGCTATTTTTTGGTAGAAAATACAATAATATGCTGAAATAACGTACACATATTAAAGACGTGCGCTCATATATGCGCCATTATAGCGCAGCTTACCGCGGTCAAAGCTGTAGAAGAACCGTATATGATAAAAATGATTTTTAGTACAATAATAACGCTTACTTGAGTGGCGTGTGCGTTGACAACCCGACATATCACTTCGACTGCCGTTACCGAGCCACTGTGCGTAATTCTACTCAGAGTAATTGCATTGTCATCTCCCCCGGTAGCCACCAATGAGCCTCGAACGTCCAGAGCGTTCACTCCGGATTGATGCGCAGAAGCCGAGCCCATACATTTTACTGAAACGCTCGGAGGCGTTGCGGCTGCTGATGTTGTCGAATTTTCTGTGGTATCCGTACTCGAGCTGGCCTCGAGAGCCGCTGTCGATGTTGTTGTTGGCGTTACTAGCTTGTTCTGTGTAACGTTGTACAACTTGAGGAGTCCATCCGTCGCTGCGGCTAAAAATGTCGTCTCGCTTAGCCATCTTGTTTGTAGTTGGCAGAACTCACCTCCATCGACTGTTGTTGTCGGTTCAATACTTTCGCCTATACTGTAGCTGAATAGGCGGATAATAGTGTCCGAACCAACGGCTATAATGTGAAATCGAGGCGTCTTTTTCATGTTTCCCTCGGGTCGGACAGTTACCGACATGTAGCGTGTCAGGGCCTCGTTCTTCACCTTGTTCGAGGTATTTTTCCATGGTTTCCGTTTGTCCTCGGTTCGGTCGGTATTCCAAATGAAATTTTTGTCCATCATTTTCACCGATAGGTCGCTGTTGACCCACCACACGATTAGTTGTCCTCGACCGCCGACGCTGACCAGCAATTTATCCGTGAAAAAATCACAAACGGCCACACATTTTACTGAAGAGATATGTCCATACAAACGAACGGCTGGTCGAATGACTCGAAATGATGATATGACAGATATCAACAGAAGATTACCTTCGCCACCAGTGACGACAACGTCTCTATCATCAAGATGCCATAGGGTTGCGGTACAGTTGATCTTCTTTGTGTGAACGGGAGCTTTAAGAACATGTGCCAAGCGTTCGTCAACACTCACTGAATCGACAAGCACACTGTTTTTGTAGGCCCGCGCGTAGTAAAAACGATCGTTATCGATACCGCAGTCCCAAGCACGGTGTCCTCCTCCAGTAGCCATCGATAGCAACGTGTAGTCGCTCTCGACATCATGCAATAAAAAGTCTCCTGACTGATAGCACGCTAGCAAAAGTCGATCTTTATACGGTAGAATGCGCCCAATCCATTCGATGGTCGGATGTTGCCAGAATACACGCAGACACAGCAAGCTGTCATTCTGCAATGCGAGCTCATAGACCTTTCCGTCACGACCGGATGACAGTATTCGGTCTTCACTATCTCGTTTCAAGTCCGTCGTGCCATACTTGCCATGAAGGTTGAAGAGAGACGACAGCACAGTATTTCGAGCGCTTCTATCTAGCGAATAGAGGAATATGTTGCCTTGGCGATCACCGACCAGAATTCGGTGCATAGATATCTGTAAAGCGCACGTTGCACAGCGTTCACTACCAATAGGCAGGACCAACGACTTAATTTTGATTAGGCTTTTTTGACGGTTGCAGAAACGCATCACAAACATGTTTCCGCTGAAGCCCGTTGACAACACCTGAGTGTAGCCTGAAAACGGATTGCCGAAGCAGATCAACGAGTAAATGCGTCCTTCATGCATTCTCTGTCTATCCCAAATAACGAGCTGATCGGCCACGGCAAAACTTGCTACGGAGCCGTGCTTATTCGCCGTAAATAGGAAGCCTGAATGTTGGCCGACGACATTATAGTCTTCGCATTCCTTAAAATAGAAGTTATGTTCCCAATTATGAAGCTCTGTGCCAAGTTGGCTCAGCAAATAGTTGCCAGACGTCGTGCTCACCACTACTTTGCCCCTGTCAATGCTGATACACTTGACAGCACCTAACTTCGGAACTAACGGCATGGTCCAAGTTGAGTCTTTGGGAAAGCCGGTTAAGGTGACCGATTTAATGTTGATTACACTCAACGAGCCCGCGATACCTCCAAGTATCACCTGATCACCACTAACTAAAAGTGAGCTTACGCTACCCCCGCCGGGAACCTGTCGTCGGCCCAAGAGCTTTCCCGAGAAGCTATCCCAGAGACAAAGAAAGCCATCTTCACCCACTGTCACCAGGTTCTTCTGCATGAGGGCCGCCCGCCAGACACGACTGCCGTGGCCGTACAGTGCAGCGACATGCATGATTGTGGCTTCTGATAGATTTTCATTTGTTCCACCAAACGATCCTTTCTCTATGCGATAGATTCTTGCACTGCGGTCATCGGACGTGGACACGATGAGGCCTTGATTCAGATACACATTTACTGAGAATATCACTCCCTGATGACCCTTCAGCACATGAAAAACTTGACCCGTCTGTGCGTCCCATATAAGAATTTCGTTGAAAACAGTGCCAGCTGCAACTTTCAGCTTGTCAGGACGGGAACCGATAATCTGGCCCGAATAGAGAATGCATTGAACTGCGCAAAGCCTGTATTCGATAGTGTCTGGTCCGCATTCTCCGGAAAACGGTAGCTGATCCTGTCTGTTGAAGTACACCATTTGGTTGTGGCTTAACAGGGCCGCTTGTGACCCGTCCATAAATGTGCGCAAGTCCCATATCCAGTCCCCGAGAGCATAAACTGGCGAATTGTAGATGATATCAACAAGCATCGTTTCGATTTCGATACGAAATGTCACCCGCGTGAAGAAGCGCCCGCCAAAAGCAAGAAACTCGCTTTGTAGTTCCGTTCCCGCATCGGTCGATGTATTCGGAACCGCTCGGAGCCCATGTAAAGTTTGGCTATTGAGGAGCTTTCGCGAAGCTATCGGCGTTAGGTTCTGTTCGTCGTATACAGCCACACACGATCCTTCGGTTGTAATATAGAAGTTTAGCCATTTTAAAGCAAAGTTCACCGGCCCTCGGTTAGCTAATTCGCAGCTGCTGTCTGCCGCCTCTCTCATCATGTCATCTCTAAGTATCCCAATAGAGTCGACGTTCATGTCAATGTCCTCCATCAGCACTTAGTTCCGCTGGCTATAATGATGAAACATAGCACAAACTTTAGTCCTTGATAAAAACGCAAGACAAACTTTGACTTAGCGCCTACACATATTCCTAGTTAAAAATTCTTCACTCGCATGAAACAGTCACTTCCAGCGCTACTGCATGTCGTCAGTTTGCGATCAGCTGTTTTCGTTATATATTTCACTGGTCCACTATGGAGCACAGCAGCTTCGTGGAACAGACGTGTTACCTTGTGTGGTTGTTTTGGCAACATGGCAGACGATCTAACCGCCATCTACAAATGCGGTAAAATTCGACCACAAGTGAAAATCTGTCTCGGAAATTTAATTACGATTAATTTGAATGTGCATTCTACACGTATCTAATGGTTAACCGAAAAAGAGGGGATATTGCAATAACTTGGGTCACAACTTCTCATAGAATCTTGTCAGGGTTTGCTTAGGACACAATGACGCAGACAGATTTTACTTAGTGGGCAAAAGATGCAAGTGCAATTGGCACAACGAACGTTGCAATTTGAGGCAAAGGGGCAAAGAAACGTTACAGTTATGTTATACGGTGGCTTCAAGACTTTCTTTTCTGTTTTGGAAAACAGGCGCGCCTTGGGATCTTGCCTTAGGTCAGATGCACACGCGACTACCGAGCAAAAAGTTAGCAAAAAGCCGTGAAGATTAGGTGTGCTTAATTATTTCGATCCACTAAAAAAGCGCTCGCTTTCATTTAAACGAACTGTCGAGCTTGAAATAGTGTAATTTAAAAAAAAAGGAGTGACTATTTCCAAGTGAGAAATTGCAGTATACCTAGAAAACCTTTGTTTACCTGTTATATTGTAATCAGAGTTATGGATGGAGAAATCCAGAAGACATCATAAGAGTTTGTCGTACGTACAGAGAAAAGAAGCCTAATAAAAGATTGGACAACATATATCGACACTAGGCAATTTTTTCTGGTATGTTTTTAATGAATAAAGGTTCGATCTGGGGTAAATAATAGTCAATCTGATTTACTTATAGCTGTCTTGCTGTTATTATAAAATTGTATGATTTCTTAATCAAGACATGATCAGAGATTACATTAAAGAAATTTGAGATTTCTTCGGTTGATACGTTTATAGAACGTCACATAGTCCTACCTTAAAAAAGGGCATCTATTAAGGCAAGTAAAAATGGCTTTTGAAAAAAATGCGTTCCAAATCGTGACTATGCCTCCAGAAAAAGATTGACATTTAAGCTGAAAACGACCAATACGATTTTATGCAAGACACATATCTCTACTCTTTGAATGAACTTAGTAATAATACTTACAGTAACCATAACAACGGCGGATAGTATGTGCATGCCATACCTTATGTCAGTAGAAAGTATTATTCAAATATAATATAAAAATTTTAATCATGTAGTAGGATTGGGGATAACAATAAAAATATTCGTTAATCTGCTCACGTTGCCAGTGTTAGTTATAGACAACAGCATTTATTTTGAACGCTCTAGTTACTTTATTCAAACATGCAAAATAATTTAAATGTTTGTTTGATAAAGCCTATCTGCGTCAAACCTGTGTCTGCATTTCGAGACACAGATTACACCTCTTTTGCAAGAATGAAGAGATTACAGTAAATAGTTTGTTTTTTCTACTAGATTCATCGCCATTCTGTGGGGAGGATCAGTCTAAATGCATACGCATCTGAAACTCTAGTCCGAAATGGCTATTTGTTTCAGCTTCATACAAGTTCGGTTACAGCTTCTGTGTGATTTAGAACTTTATAGGTGTGTTTCGTTAAAGTTGGAAAACTTGGCGCACTCGTGCTTCTTAATAAGACACTGTTCTGGAATGGCGAATAGTGAAAAATATTAGCTGGGAAAGTAAGTACTTCAAACTGCAAGTAGAACCTTTTTAGCTTGCTGACAGTTTTTTTTTTTAAATCGCAGATTTCCGTCAAAGAGATCTTTTTCCTTTTATTGAAAATACTATGCTTATCAAACAAACTTACAGCTAGTATGCCTGAATATCATATTTAGAATTATGTATAAGTTTATCGAAAAGTTACTATATTATGAGTAGCAGTTTGCATAGATTAAAAACAATGCTAAGAGCAACATCCGAAGTACTATAATTTAGGCATACGTATGGACATATAAACACTCACGCAGGGCGAATGCAACCTACGTAGCACCGCTGACTCGCTCAGATTTCACGGAACCCTCGGTTGTCTTAGCTCATTTTTTTGTAGGAATGAAAAGTAATATGGAGTCGACTACTTTTTTCCCAAAAGCAAAAGCAACCCAAAAACGTAGTCAGTGTTAATATTTCATTGTTGTGCTGGTACGGACAGTCGCTGCTACAACCTTCCTTGCACAAAAACTGTTTTACTGATTCGTTATTTTTGAAATGACTGTGAAAAGTGTAATTCATTGAGTCCCATTATCCAACACACTTAAGCAAGCATTGATTTCAACATAATTATTCAAAAGCGAAGTCACTGATTCATTTCTAGCAGCAAAATTAATTCATTGCTATCTACCTTAATATTTGGACATTTAAACACTTATCTTTTAGTCGGAGACTTAGTCATTGGAGTCATTACATTGTACCTTACTTGTCCTGATCCGCTAGCATTAGTCAGTTTGAAAATGCATTTTTCAGACTGGCTAACATTAGGAGACTTGCAAGATGGCGACCAAAACTGATATATGCTGGACTGCGTAGACATTGCAATGTATATTGCGATGCACCAAACTATTATTAGTTTGTTACGGATAAAATAAATGAATAAATAAGTAGCCCGTACTGATTCATTGTAAACAGCGTGTGCATTAACAAGTTTAGATAATAAACATCGACTGTTATCAGTGTAACTATTTAGAGAAGTGTCAAAGCACGGGAATTAAGTTTTCAAACAAAACCTTTTAAATTCAGCAACGCGACCTACTGAAAAGTTTCAGCATTTCTTCTTCTCGCGATAACTGGTCAGTGATGGGCGATCATGTGAACATGCACGAAACAATAATTAACCGATAGCCACATGCGCTTTGTGCCTTCTAAGTTTTGGTATAACCACACGTTATATTTTACCGGGCAGGTTTACTTAAGTTTCTAAAGCAGGATACAAACGCTTGTATAACGCGATGGACAACGACTTCCTGCTAGTAACTACAATGTTCGTTCATTTTACTTTTACATGCGACGATGAAAATAACTGACAATCGAAATATTAGTGAAAAAAATGTATAGTTGTACATAAAGGAATAGTTGAAATTACAATCTTGAAACCTATCTATTTTATTTATCATAATTCACATACCGCCGAATACCTAGTCAGGTAGGTGTTTATGTACCAATTCTCATTTGAAGACTGACAGAGGCCGCGATCTTCTATCGCGCCGCTTTCGGGCACTCACGACCTGAAAGAAAGATGATGTCGCACAGCATAACGTAGCGGCACCGTTATGCTTCGCTCGGAACGGCTGTAAACAAGTGCTGAATCGCAGATCCCTTCAGTAAGTAACTAAAGACTACGGAACTAATCAAACCACAAGCTTCGGCCATGATCGACTAAGAGTTTATGGTTGTCAACGAAAGTTGCGCGATGATTTGCTCTGTCGAGGAAAACCACTTCGTACTTTCGAGAAAAGGTGATGATGATGGCGCACGACTATAATGAAGATTTAACTACTTAATAATTGCTACCAAGGCTACTAAGTGCGCACAAGTACTGACTATCTCTGAAAGCCATTACGCGTGGTTGCGTGAAGCACAATAGGGTAGATCAGATTGAATCCGTGGAAAATGTAGGGATACAGATTATTTAAAAATCAGAGTATACGAGCCTCAAGGTGCTATTGAATAACACGTGTTGATGCCATTAAAACATTAAGTTATCCTTTCAACGTTCAAGTTTTTTGCATAAATGAAGTAGTAGAATCGAGGATATATGCTGACTAGAGCAACGCATCCTACGATGCCTGGTACCTACGTAGATATATTTAACGTGCCAGGAATACCTTCTAGGTAAGTAATCTTAAGCAATATTGTCTTTGGGCAATTTAACTAAAGTTTAAATTGTGGCAGCGATAATTTGACTATTCCTATGTGATGTAAGATACGGCCTTATAAACATTGAACGAAAGTAAACACTTTTGCGGCCCAACGTGAACGCATGAGAATTCCTTAACTATCATTCGGGTCAGCACTACCACCTATAGTTGTTTGTCGTACGTCAGTACCACGGCCTGCTTTGGCAATGCCTGCCTGTAGACGGCTATACAGAAATCATAGAAGTTCATATACCAATTACCAGCCAGTCTTAATCAAGCTATTTGCTTGTTGGCGGCAATCGAAGCCTCGCAGTTGGGCCGAGCTCCAGAACTTCTGGGTGTGCCATGGACTTGTTCGTTGCTCCCGTACAGAATGACTTGCCTACTACTGTTGTACCGTATCGTGGTATGGCAGAAATGTATCCCTTAACTACTATGAGGAACAAACCCTAAAGAAGGTGTTGTGCCATTACCGACAGCCGACGACCCGATTTAGCTTTCCTCAAGACCGAGAGTAGCCAAGCGACTACCTACCAACCTTCCTCTACTGCCACTGTGACTGCACTACAACCGTTGACGCATTCCTCTTCGAAACGTCTGTCCAAGCCGACAAAATGGCGAGATGCGAGGCGGCGCTGTTACAGTTACTCCTGTTATTCTTGTAAACGTATGTACGCGTTGTGTTGGCCAATCCCATCTGTAGGGATGGTCCTATCGTAAAGGTGTGGCAGGCCACGGTAGGCAGCAGTAGCAATGGTAGTTATGTCAAGCTACGATGGCTGTACAAGTTAGAACCGCGGTGCCGAATGAAGGCAGCAACTATCTGCGACCACGTGAGTACCAAGCCACCGCCGCCCACTCCATACGTCACTGACTTTCATGAGCAGGTTGTTATTGGTGCTGAAGATGATGGCAATGATGACGATTATATTGTGCTTTCAACTTCGGCAATAGCCTTCTTTGTCTCTTTTTTTTCGATTGATGGCACCCAGGTATTACCTGCTTTTACAGAGTAGAAGCAGCCGCAGCGACCATTCCTGTCTATGAAGTGGATATGTATGTATGTATATACATACATGTATAGATACATACATACCACCAAGACACCATAACTTTAAAAAATTAAATTAAACTTGGCACCAGGTTTTACGTAAAGGTCGGCAAGAAAAAAAATTTACTGTAGTAGTCCCAGTATTCACCTTTGGCGTATGTTATAACACTTCGAAAGCGTAAAATGTATGTAAATTTATTTCTCATTTTTACTTAAGCCACAAAAGGCTAGGGGCCCTTTTAACAAACCAATTTATTATATCGGAAGCTGAATCTGATTACCAAGAATGTCAAACTAAAAGAACCTTTGGGGAACCTCGCTTTACGCTCGTGACGGAGCGACCAAGAGGTAAGTAGTTGATGTGCAGATGGGATCCTATAAAGTTCGATACACAATATGGTGCCTAAGGGTCAATTAAACAACGATAAATTAATCAATAAGTTAGCAAAATGTTCTATTTGATTGCACGCTGATTACGCACTACCGACGTGGATCATCTAGATGAGACGAGGTGCTTTGCATGTTACGGAAATCGGCTGTTTGGCGCTGTTACATCTCTTTATATATATGTATAGCTGGTTTGCGTTTGAATGAAGATTATCATACCAAAGCTAATGAACACTCTTCACGGCCGCTCATACTACAGGCTACCGGCCTCGCGAAGGCAATCGTCAATGAAGGAGTTTTTATAAGTTAATTTTACTTTTCAATTCTTTTTACGTCTGCTAGTCTAATCGTTAGACATTACTGCAGACGTGTGCTGCTCTATTTGGCTGCCTTGTCGA